CAAAGGCAAACTGGTTCTCCAGTCATCTTTACGGAGATTTTCCCAGTCTTCATCCCGGACAGAGCGAGAACCCCGGCCGTACGGCTGCTTGTTCTGTAAATCCCTTTTACCTTATAACCCTGTCAGCAGAAGCAGCAGGCCTCACATTCTATCCATTCTCTCCTCTTTAAATTTGATGTCAAAAGTTTTATGTTGCAGGTTCTTGCCAAAATGTTGGGAGGATGGCAGAGCTGGAGAATTTAGAGCCTGGCCTGCATGGCCTCCATGTCAGGTGTTAATCATGTGTGAAGAATACAGTCCTGCTGTCATTCGCTGCCTAATGCTGCAGTCATTTACTACACGGATTGCATTTGCAGTTCAATTTGCATGTTCCTTTTGAGTCAGGTCTTCTGGTTGCAGGATTTCAAAACTTCTTTGGCCTTTTATTTGGTCAGATATTTCTGCCTTCATGTCTTCTACGCCCAAATTCTTCCCTCCCAGTCTCCTGAGGACAAAGGCTTTGTGATGCAACCTTCAACCTCTGTACCCATTAGGGCTGGACAAGGTGTTGCAAATTTATTGTTATTTTATCATTACTGTCTTCACTAGTTATGTAAGTATGTCAGATGATAAATTAAAATGAGCTCAGTAATTTCCATTAGCAGGATTTATTGTTTTTTTTTTCATTTCTTTCTCTCTTACCAAAAGCTGGAAGATAAAAGTCTTCAGTCGGGTACTTTGTCTCAACTGGGCCTTTTTTTTTTTTTAAGGAGACACAATAATTTATCTCCCGGTTACAGCAGAGTTAAAAAAAAGTCTGAATTTAGGTGAGAAATGAATGTATTTATTTTTTCTCCTCTCCCTATTGGCCATTGAGTTGTCACTTCTGGTCTGATTCTCATTCTGCTCCATCTGCCTCCAAAGATATTAAACCTTGGATTTCACACCTCGTCCTGTTGCTATACGACATACTGCTGTTCTTAATGATCTTGTTTTCACTTGGATCTAATGAAGATCACGTTTCCTGCTTGGTCCAGAACCTTGACAGTTGTGTGTATTGCTGTGTAGCTGAGTACTGAATGCTGCCCTTCGTTGGTGAGGTGGAACCAAACATGGAGAGAAAATGGCTGCCTGTTGCAGTGCCTGGATGTTGAAGTGTTACCACCATGGTAGTGAGTAGACAACATGCCTGGACATTGGGCTGCAGATGTTATCAGACAGAGGATTGTGAAAGACACGCTGCAGAAATCAGAGCTTTGGGAAAGCAACAAACCAACACAGCAGGATTGTAAAGCCCTAACACAGAGGAGAAATGTATGGTTTAAAATTTAGTATTTTTTTTGTGTGTTACAAGTTAAACTGTAACTCAGAGGAAAGTCATAGCGGCGTCCTTCCAGAAGGTTTATTTGGATGTGCAGTTTTAGTTGGTCCACAGTGGCCGATCCTAACCTCAGACACTCAGGGAGAAGAGGCGTCCCTCTGTTATTTGTGAGCTGGTTAATTTTTGGACCTTCCGCAGGTCTTGGGCCTGCAGTGGAAACTCAAACAAGCAGTTTAGTCCTCAGCTGCCCAGCTGAGCGGCTCTCGGCTGCAGGTCATGTTGAAAGCTGCTGAGGGAGACAAACTGCTGCTGACTGACCTGGAGCAACATTTTATTCAGGTATCCACTTCTTAGTTTAGTCCAGGAGTTTTAGCCTTTGCTTTGAGTTAAAGCTGCAGTATAGCAAAATATTTCAAAATTAGCGCCTCAAAATAGTTGATTTTAATTACAAAAAGCCACAAAAAAAATAATTATGAAATCCTGGTTGGACTGACTAGTGGGAAAAGATGCTCAACATTACTTAATTTTGAGATACACTTTTTGAATGCAAAGCTAAAACAAACAGCTGTTGATGATGTTTTAACAGTTTTATGAATTTTATCAATAGTTCTGGTGCAACCGGCCCTTTAAGAACATTTAGATTTTTGACATGGCCCAAAATGAAAGTGAGTTTGACATGTCGGCTCTAAGTGAACAAACAGTCGCCTCATTAAGCAGGAATATATATTTTTGATCTAATCCTTGATCATGACTATCATTTTGCATATTGCTGTCATTTTGTGAACCCCTCCCCAAAATATTTGTTGTATAATTTAATGATAATTTGCTCAGAATATGTTTTTAAGCTAAAAACTAGAGACAACCAACAACATTATCAAGTAAATTCTCTTGTCTGTTTTTTCCATTTGTTCAAAGAGGTTAAAATGCAGAAAAAAAAGTCATTTGATTTTTGTATTGTCATCTACATTTTCCAGAAAAGCTCTTGTCACAGGCAGAACGCTGAAGGGAAAACAAAGTACACTTAATATTTGTTAACAGGAGGAGAAGCACCAAAACCAATCAGACCCATGTCAAAACGAGGACAAATGTCAAAGGTTGCAGTTTATTTATTAGTCAGTTTAGAGAGGGATTTAACAACAGAGAGGGATTTAACAACATTATTGCTAAAAATCTTTGTACTGCCTGTTTCTGTACTGTGCAAGCCTGAAATGATGAAAAAACATTGTCCATAACAGGAGTCCCACGTAGACACGAACATTTAACAAAACAAGGTATTTGTCCTGACCCAACAAATTGAATGTGCTGAGACAGAAACCTGGTGGGATACAGAGCATGTCATCAGAACTATGAAGACAGGTGGGACGTCCTGCTGCAGCAGATTCCATATTGAAATACCAAAGGCCTTAACATGTGACCCGCTCAGGAAAGACGACAGACACAAGTCCACGTGCTGCTAACTGATAGGTGCTGTGGCCACTCACCGCTGTTATCACGTGAGTCCAGAGACATCAATGCTAATGTGCTTCATGATTAGCTGGGCAGTAGGGTGGAGCTCCTCCACTCGCACTACTCATGCACTATAACGTCTTCCTCCGAATTACAGTCCTAAATAAGGCAAACACTAAAAAATACAATTAAAACATATGTTTTTTGCATGTCACTTAAATCCTAATTCGGTAATCATCCAGGAGATCTTAAAACAAGAATCAAAACCAAACATTTAGACTAAAATGTGGAGCACAGGATCCACACAGAACCAGGTGCTGCAGCGGAACCCCCAACCCAGTTCAGCTACAAACCTGAACTTAATATATACTCCATGTTGTTGTTGCCAAATAGCTCAAGTCTGTTTTAGTTCTGATGATTAAACCCCTGATAATCCGGTCGATTCTGAATGATCGGGGAGCAAAATTGCAACATTTGCTTCATTTTCATCTTATGCCGTTTTCTGTCACACTGCCCTGTGACAAATGATTCAGATGGAAAAACTTCTTCCCCTCCTCGCCTGTGGTGATGCTGCACCAAGAACCACTGAAGGAAACAACACAAAAACCTCTGAAGAAGAGTTTTAGCTTCAGAACGCAACTTCTTTGTTCATAAAATGTAAAAAAAAAAAAAAAAAAAAAAAAAAAAGCAGAGTCAGACTTTAGCTGTAGTCTGATTTCTTTTGGTTGTATTTACCCAGAATGCACTGATTCATTTCTTGATTTTGGAGACATATGCATTGAAACTGCATTAGAATTGACTTAAGTCGACCCAGCAGTTAGTTTTTAGTTGGACCACAGTTCACTTTTTAGGTCCACATCAGAGTTTGATTGTGCATTCACACCTCCTCAAACAAACCGGTCTTTCTAGGCAAATAGTCTGTTTTAAACCATTTGATTAAAGCGGACTGTGTTGTGTAACTGTTCTTCTCTAAAAAAAAATAAGCAAAAAAATAAGCAAATGCTGGATTTTTCAGCTTATCTATAGAATTCCACAAAATGAATTAATTTACAGGGATAAATTATCTTAATGGAAACACTCCAATTTAAAAAAAAGCTCAATTTTTTCAATAAAAAGTTGTGCTAGTTTTTCAGTCGTATCAGAATGGATGTATTTTTCAGAACTGCAATGGGAACAAATTGTCACATCACATGATGAACTCCCGGATGTAACTCCTGGTGAAAACCACAAAGAAGATGACAGGAAGTAGTTCATTAGAGCTCTCACAGCATCACACGATTCATCAGAAATTGTGAAACGTTCCAATGTGTTGAATCCATAACGTAACAATTTCCCCCTAAACGCCTCATATGTTGCCTCTCCCTAGTATATGTGGTTTGTCACTCCAATGCATGAAAGCCTCTGATGGCTGTCAGACGAACTCCAACGTCATGGCTGAATTATAAATATAATCTCATGTAGCTTGATGTAGTTGTTTACATCTGTCACTGGAATTATATTTAACTATTTACCGCATTCTAGCTTATTCACATGTCATTTCAATTTAATTTCATTCAATGCAAATTCCGCAATTTCGAAATTGTGTATTTTTGAGCTTCAGCAGACAACAGGAAAATATTTGCACACATTTGTAAGCTGATGAGGTAAAGAGGCAATAGAGCTCAGTCGTTCCCACTGGACAGTGGTATTGTTGTCCATAGCTGCAGAATTGGGCATTAGGTGTTCTGTTAGTGACACACCCACTGGGTTTGGGTCAAGCTTTGAAGGAAGCCATGAAGCCTCCTGAAGCGTCATGTGATTTTTTTTTTCTGTCATGTGAGATGGATTATTTGATATTAATTGTGACACAGAACAGCATCAATAAAAAACTTTATTTATCCTATTTGAGGATGCGCTGATATAAAACTATGGGCTACTATTAATATCCAATATTAATATCGCTGAAAAGCAATTGATATTTACCAGTTTATATTTTCCTGCCTTTTGGACATTGTGAAGCACTGGGAACAGCACTGCTTCAGTGAAACATCCTACCTGCACAGCATCACTATCACTGTCATGTGACCACCTTCCTCCACTTCCAGAAACACATTCACAGATGGCAGAAAAATGAAAATGAATGTTGGTTATTTTTATGACCCCACAGGTCATGACTGTGTTCTACACTCTCTGTTTTTCACCTGTTGTAGGATGATCCAGGAATGATGTGCTAAGACTCAGAAAGCTGCTAACGTTGATGTTTCTGTGTTTGCAGCTTGTCTTTTTCGCTTCAACTTGCTGTCACTGGTTTACTTCCTCTATCTACTGCTGCTGCCATGGTTCCTGTGCCCAAACAAATACACAGTGAGAGGTAAGCTTCAATTTACTGCACACGTCTTCTTTCTCCTCACTGACTGTAGATACAGTCAGTGAGGAGATAACTGACTGTATCTACAGTCAGTTGCATCCAGAAAGTATTTGCAGCGATTCACTTTTTCCACATTTTATGTTTCGGCCTGATTCTAAATTGTATTAAATTAAACTCTTAGACACAATACCTCAATATGACAAAGTGGAACATTGTCTTTAAGTGTCTGGTTACTGTATTAAAAATAATCATATTCACATAATTATTCACAGCCTTCACAATATTTGATTGATGAAGCTCAACAAAGCCGATGAGGCTGATCATCCCTGATGATTCTACAATTTAAATGGAGTCAACCTGTGGATTTGATTTGGAAAGGTCCACACCTGTCTATGTAAGGTCAGAGGTCAAGCATGAAGTGAAAGGAACATTCTGTAGATCTCTGGAAGCTGGACTGTCTTTAGGCACAAATCTGGGGGAGGATCCAGTAACACTAAGGCCTCTCTGAGACCTCAAAATCAGAGGTATCAGAGAGGCCTTAGTGTTCTGAGGAAAGAGGAGAGCCTCCCAGAAGGACAACAATCTCTGCAGCACCAATCAGGCCTGCATTGTAAAGTGGCCAAATGTTTTTTTTATTTGTAATAAATTAGCAAAAGCTTTTGAGGAAAGAGATTAATTTGATACAACCTGGAATACTGCTGCAAATGTGGAAAACCGCTGTGAATACTTTACAGTCTAAACCAAGCATGTCTATGTTTTTGTTGTTTGCAAAGTGATGTGCAGAACATCTTAACGCTAAATGTTGCAGAATATTTTAAGTGTGTGAGGAGTGTGACTTTGTTTTTTTTTGTTGTTGTTCCACATTATAGCCAAGGTCATCATAAAACATGAAATTTTTAACACTCCAAAGCATAAAGTGATATATTAATGATATTTCCATTGTTTGAGTACAGAGGATTGCCACAGCTTGGTAATGTCATGATGCTTCTTGCTACTGCAAGACAAAGAGCTGGAAATTAAATACTGAGTGAAATTAAATACAGCTGCAAATGTATTATTTGATATCTGGATAGTCCCATTTGATTTGTTGTTTTATTTGGGTGACATTTACATGTTGTTTGTCCAAAGGCCATACATAATCTTTGAGAGAACCTTCAGATTATGATCACTTTGAAAGAGTAGAAGAAAGCAAACAAGATCATTAGATTCTGCTGAGAATGAGGGCAGTATGCATGGACTAGATTGAAGGACTAAGGCTCACAGTCAACCAAAAGATGCTATAACGAGAATGTCGGACCTATAACTGTTCTTCGACCTGACTAAGAGGCCGTGTCTGACTCAGTAATCCTCACAAGATGTGCAATCACCAGGTGATGCAACACAAATTCAAACAATGGGAGGGGCCAGCGCAACAAGGCGGGGCAAGAACGCATCATCACTGCCTCAATAGTGCTGAGTCTCATCGATAAACTCTGATAATCTGAAGACAAAAACACAACTATGACCTATGGACAGTACCATCTATACATCTACTAGAAGATAATAGTGCAACTGTATGGACAACATCGACTGATATCATCACCTGGTTCACATCATGGTAACCATGATCCTTGAGATGCTTCACTTGAAAATGAAAACCACTAGAAGCCATGGAGAGCAGCATCCCTGGATCTAAAGCCACACATATCAGCCGACTGTCTGAGCAACAGAAAGGTGCGGTTCAGACACATCCTCCAAGAAAATGCCACCACTTTGACTGAGGCAGTTCAAGTTCTGTGCAGGGAGAGGAAATAACAACAGTGCCACACATCTAAAACACGCAGGACAGAAGCCTCTCATGACACCGTTTGGCCCACACATGTTCTGCTGCAGAGCGTGCCAGGCTCACACCTCTGACTTCTTCCCTCCAGAGGTACAATAGCAAAACAAAGAGCAGGAAAATAAACAGGATGTTCTCTCCCTCACCATCCACTTTGTTCACAGAGTGAGTCTACCGTATTAACACGGTATTAAGCCCACCTACAGGCCTTTGAAGAGTCTCACAGATCTAAAGTTTTTGCCACTCTAAGTTCAGACACTAAACATACATGCAACACTTTGACCTGCGATGGACTGGTGGTCTGTCCTGAGTGAACCCCGCCTCTCTCAGGAAATGAATCAATCACATGACCGCCCATAAACAGGTTGACCAATCAGCAGTCAAAGAGATAATTCTTGCTGACAAACTGAAACAACTAAACTCTGGTCTGAACCACTTCAATAACCTTACCAATGTAAAAGTGGTTAATTCCCAGAGGAGTGGACAAAAAACAAACAAAAACACCATATGATATGATCCCACTCATGATTGACAATCGTGAAGAAGTTGTAAAGAAGTCAGTAAGGCAGGCCTTGGGGAGTCATCTCTAGAAAGTATAAATAATCAATCTGTAATTATGTTATATACGTGTTGTGCCAACCTGCAGGTATAATACTTTGACCAAAGAAATGATGAAAGCCACTGATTTTAAGGATGTTTTCAGACCTGATAGTCCAATATACTTAGTTCCATTGGAGAGCAAAATTGCAACATGCCACATTTTCAGCTGGTGCGGTTCTCTTTTACTCTAAACTGTGTCAAATGATCCAAACTGGCTGGAAAACCTGCTCCTCTCTTTGCTTGTGTTAGTGAAGAACCAACACAGGCAAACTGCTGATCACTTTGGCCAACACTGAAGGAAGCAACAAGAAAACCTCTGTAAAACTCTGTAGTGTGAGACTCACTTGTTTGTTTTGTAGTTACCCAGAATACCTTGTGCTGTAGTCCGCTTCCTGCTTTTGGAGCGGTCTCTGGTCCACTTGGATATGCATCCAAACTGCACCAGAGTTCACTTCCAACAAACTGAGACCGAGGTTTATATGTGGACCAGAGTACGCTTTTATGGTTTGCATCAGTTACGTCCTCACACCTTCCCAAACGAAACAGACTTTCTATACAAATGAACTGGAGTTTGATTAAAGAGGACTAAACTGGGCCAAACTAAAATGCACCATAAGACAAGTTGGTTACTGATCATTCTGGCCTTCGAAGAAAACATAACAGAAAATGCTAATGAAGGAGCAAGAGATTTCCAGGGTAGAAGTGAAGGAGCAGAAGGAGTCATTTACCTCTGACTCACTTAGAAAATGACTGAAACACTGAAATCCTCCTAGTGGGTAGAAAAAAGCAGGACTGAAGGATTGTACAGAGGCACTAATCATGGCAGCTGCATAGAGCTGCTCTACTTGATAGGATATTATATTTCAAGTGTTGAGCAAATCAGTAATATACTGTAGTCAGATGATCTGTCCTTGATGTCCACAGCCAATGTAAGTGCTTAGTGACAGCGGTGTTAAAGGTCACGGAGAGTGGTGGAGACAGTAAATAAGAATAAAGAAATGGTTGAGAAAATGTGGGTTTAGAATGAGCAATTTTCAGCAACAACATCACCATTGTATGATTTCCTGAGTCATGCAGCACTCAGACATGCTCTATTGCATCTTTTGATACTTGCTTGCAGATTAAACTGTGTTTCATTTGTTTCTGCTTCCTGTCTTTCAGGTCACACTGGTCGATTTATTAAAACGGTATTTTGCACCAGTCTGCTGTTTGTTCTGGCTCATGTCTGCTTCCAGACAGTGCTGTACACGTACGCTCCCCTCAACACCGCAATAGGCTATAACTGTTCACAATGGGAGACCATAACCAGACACATCGGACTGTCCAGGTGTGTATTAGACACCATAAACAACTACTGTAGAGGAAATGATTGAAGGTGCTGATGTTTTGTGCTAACTCCATATGCGTGTGTGCTGCAGGCTTCCCTTGGAGGATCCCTGGAATGTGCTCCGTCTCCTGTGTCCGGATGTAGGAGTGTGTGTGGTGTCACTTGTTACTATTGTCCTCTGCAGCAGATTGGTCAGGAACAGAGAAATGGTGGCTGCAGCCAATATAACATCAGTAAGTCTCTGTATGGTGTTTGACGGCCTTTTTAAGAATATTAGAATGCAAATGTAAAAGAAGGTAAATTATGTTAATTAGACCACTGATCACTTTTTTAAAAAACCTTCATAAAATGTACAAGATTGGAGCCATTTTCTCTGATTATTAAACTTTTGTGAGGCTTTGGGGTGACCAGTGTGAATGAAGGATGCACTGACCCACTGTTTTCACTTCCGATACCGATACAGATATCTGAGGTTTAGTATCGGCCGATGCTGATCTGAATTGACTTTTAACATTTTTTCTTAAACACAGACATAAATATACTGACTGACAAATTTATTAGATGACTGCACCAATGCAGCACATAGCTGGACCGATACAGGTATTGATATCAGATTGGTGCAACTCTAGTTTAAATTGTGGTCATTTTAGAAGTGCAAACATCCAGGATTCTAATTTAAAAGAACCCTTCAGAACGTCAAAGGAACACGTTTAGTGAAGGTGGGTCCAGCCTTCCAACTCACTCAAACATCAGTCTGACATTTGGTTACGAAAAGGACCCAACATTTCTACAATCCTCCTCAGCTGGTCCTTAAGTTCTGCATGAGAACCGGCTGATATTTGATTCAGTTTTGTAGCAGAAACGTTGCAGTTTGATACCCTTGCTTCAGATCCAGAGGGTTCTCAGGATTTCTTTATACAGATTGGTTTCTGGACACTGCAGAGGCTGGAAGGTCCCGGTTGTTCTGTTGGAGCCGGGACCGCTGCTGTCCTGCTGAGAGTGGACTGCTACTGCTGCAAACACATTGATTTAGGAACCATGTGTCAAACATGAGGAGGGTTACTCACTTTACCCTTCAGCAGCCACAACCTTTAAATTAACTGCTGTATCTTCACTTTCTTATGAAACTGAACTCCTGTTCAAGTGTCACAACACCAGCAACTAGCTGGATGTTTTATTGACTATAGTAAAATCAGATGTTAGTCCATATAGAAACACAGCACCTTACATTAGAGCAGAACTTGGTCATATTTTAAGGCTCTGAGTCTCGTCTCGTCTGTGATTGGTTGAATTTTTGTCTCACCTCAGAGGTAAAGAGCTTCATGAAACCTTTCCTCCCACTAAATAGCTTGAAGAGGAATCTGCAGACACAACAACAGAGAATGAGGAGGAGGAAGAGTCATCAGTTGACGAAGAGGTGGAGGAAGAGGAAAGGTCGTCGAATGGTGACCCTGACGAGGTTTCCACAGCAACCAGAGCCAAGCAGCTGGCAGAAGGGCTCAAAGTTAAAATGCTGAAAATCCTGCGGGATCTGGGCAGAGTGATGGTGGTCGTCCTGCTGGGGTTGGCAGGTAAGGTCTGCTCCAGGTTACGTTTCCATCGTATCTCACATCTTCTCTGTGTTCTCACTGAACAAATGACTTGACTCTGGGGAGCTTACCTGGACATGCTGTTCTCTGACAGTGACAGTTTTACAGCGAGTAATGTAAAAGGATGTCCATATATTGCTCTTTGACCTCTGGAGACGGGCACAAGCTCCCTGCACTGGATTCAGTAGCTTGAGATCAAATAAAATCCGGTGCTACATGGTCAGTGTAACACAAAGAATTTTACAAAGGATTTTAATGTTTTATCATTGATGCTCCATGAAGCTTTCAAAATAACAATAAAAATATTCAGTTTGAATTTCTAAAACCTGGAATGTTTTATTATTTTGAACTTAGATCTAATTCATACACTGTATTTCCAAAAGTATTTGCTCATCCATTCAAATGATCAGAATGATCAGGTGTTCCAGTCGCTTCCATGTCTATCAGGTGTATAAAATGAAGCATCTCGGCATGCAGACTGTTTCTACAAACATTTGTGAAAGAATGTCTCTGTCTCTCTGGAGCTCAGTGAATTCCATCGTGGAACGGTGACAGGACCTGTGCAACAAATCCAGTCATCAAATTTCCTCACTCCTAAATATTCCACAGTCAAATGTCAACCGTATTATGAGAAAACCGAAGTGTTTGGGAACGACAGCAACTCATCCAAGAAGTGTTAGGCCACGTAACCTGACAGAGCGGGGTCACTGGATGCTGAAGTGCACAGTGCGAAGAGGTCGCCAACTATCTGCAGAGTCGATCACTGCAGACCTCCAAACTTCACGGGCCCTTTGGATGAGCTCAAGAACAGAGTACAGAGAGCTTGGAATAGGTTTCCATGGTGACCAGCTGCATCCAAGTCAAACATCAGCAAGTGCAATGTGGCTATAATGCTGCAAAGCAGAGCAACAAATACTTTCCTAAAACACTGCGTAGAAAAGTTTCCTACTCTAAATGACTCTGTTAACTAATAATTGCTACTAATTAAAAGTGAGTGGCTGCTAATTTACTGGTTTGAGCCCCAGATCACTGGAAAACCCGAAGTTAGGAAGGATCTAACCAGAGCTATTTCCTGTCCATTTTTAAAATACCAGATCCAGGTACAGCAACCAATGAAAAGGGATTCTAGAAACAAGCTAACATGGAAACACAGACTCAGAGAGAGAGAGAGCTGCAGAGGCATGTTGCCTAAATGAAACCTTAGCTCCCCTGACAGCTCAGCCATGGTTATAAACAGCAGGTGTGTGTAATTGCTGGCGCATGAGACCAGGGCAGCGGTCCAATAATGCATAGTGACCTGCATTAGCAGCAGGTCCTACAGGCTCAGTGGCCTTTATGTCAGTCTGCTAACAGACTTTTAGCAGACTTACCAGACTGTTGGTTGACTGGCAGCTAATCGAAAAAACCTGGTCCTCCTTAAAAAAGAAAACAGATGATCCAACTTAAAAAGAAAATGTTAATTTGTCACGAATAATAAAATGAAGTTTATCCAAGTCCATGTATTAAGTTTATTAAGTGAACATGTTAAAGAAAAGTTTAACATGCCCAAACTGACAAACTGAATTCAGTTACACATTTTTTAAAGTGTGAGCTTCGTTCTCTGTGTTTGTGTCATTGTCTTTCTGTAGATGTTTAACATGTCTCCTGTTCTCCCCCCCAAGGCATCACACTGCCCTCTGCCTTCTCAGCACTTTACTTCCTCCTATTCATCGGTGTGTGCACGTGGTGGGCGTGCCATCTACCCATCAGCCACCTGGGGTTTAATGCACTGTGTGTGATGGTGGGCTTCTTCGCTGCCGGCCACCTGGTCTGCCTGTACTTGTACCAGAGTCTGCTGGGCCAAGGCCTCTTCCCCCCACACAGCCTGTGGGCCAGGTGAGCCTGCAGGGCAACATGTTTGTACTACTGTCTCCTTTGAAATTTAGAAATATTGTAGCAGAAAAAGTTTTACTTAAATTTATGATTCACCTGAGCTCCCAGAGGTTGGTTTTCTGGTTCTACAGACTGGTTTGGACAAAAATACTGCAGGATCCCTTAATTAGACTAGACCGTCAACCAGACAGCATTATGCTGAGTTTGTTACAGTAAACTAAAAGTCATTCAGAAAAACAAACACTGAAGTTGGAAAAATTGTTTTTGTCAACTGAAATGAATGAAAACGGTAAATAATGAGAACATGGACTGTGGGAGGAAGCTGGAGTACCTGGAGAGAACCCATGCATGAACAGAAAGACCCCGGGCCGGGAATCGAACCCAGAACCTTCTTGCTGCAAAGCAGCAGTGCTACCAACTGTGCCACTCTGATACGAGTTAATAAAAACTAATTAAAACTATTTGAATTAGACAAACAAGAAGTCACAATAAAATAAGACTAAACTATCATGAAAAGCCCAAAACAATTAGAACTGTGGGTAAATCATACGCTTACTGAGGTTACATTTACAGCTTTTAACATGTTTTCTTTGATTCCTCATTGGTTCATCCTAATCTGACTGTTAGCGCCTCATTCTCACAGCCACTAATCCCAGCGTTCTTCATGCTTCAGATTTTTTTTGTGATCACAGTTAATTATCTGGATCTTTCTCTGTTTGTGTTTCTGTCTAGACTGTTTGGTCTGAAGGACATCATCATACCCGGAAACTGCTCCATGCCTGATGACCTCATCCTCAATCACAGCCATGATTGGCCGGTTTACGTCAACCCAGGAATCCTGCTGGTCCTCTACGTTACTGTGGCCGCGGTTATCAAATCAGGACTGCACGCGGCGTCGAACCAGGTACAAATAGCACCATTACCACAGCAGAACCTTCTAAGTGTTCATGTTGAACATTCACATGAGGGCACTGAAACGATGATGTCATCGTTTCAGTGCCGTGAAAACATGGTACTGGACGGAAAAGGTTCTGTAAAGACTCCAGAGTGTCTCTTGTTTTACATCCTAAAAGAACTTGTGACCCGAGTGGATCTCTCTCTGTTAATAAGACAATGTGTAGAACCTTTTTTGGCTCTATAATAATTAACATTTTCCTTTCCTAGAGATAATCGTGCTACTTTATTTAATTAATTGTATGCTAAGTTTGCTGTTTAGCTAGTGAAAGGAAAAAAAAAATCACAATTTTATTATTTTTTCTAAACAACAAAACATATATTTTTATTTTTTTTAAATACTATTTTCATTTTACACTGTACTATTGTACTATTTTAAAATAGTAGATATTATAATATAAAAATAGTAAAAATAATAAATTAGTAAAATACTATCTTTAACTATTTTTAAAGATAGTATTTCAAAAATACTATCTTTAATGTTAATAAATTTAGCCAATAAGATGCAGAATCCTGAATAAAACAATCTCAGTTGTTCGGATGTTAGAGTTTTCTTTTTTGACGTCACATTTCTTCCCAGCTGGAGAAAAGAAAAGCTTCAGCGGAAGAGCTGGTTGAGTTAAAGTCCTGGAATCAACCCAAAGACGACTGCGAAGACGAGACACAGGTACTGGCTGCTGAGTCTCTGTCAGCTGCACTTACACGCAAAAGCATTCACACCCGAGGTTCCACACACACACCTCAGATGTTCTCGTCCCTTTCTGCAAACACTGACAAACAGTAAAGCAGGAGCAGCCAGATGAAAAGCTGCCGTCTGGATGCTTGTGGTTCACCTGCAGACCACAGGTGGGTGTGGAGGTGGTTTGATTGTGAGGAGCAGACGTGTTTGGATGGCACCATGGAGGGGAGGGACGGGTTTCACCACCGGCTGCAAGCGGTTTCCCACAATAATGAAGATCATCAGAGCCACTGAATGTGGAAACCTCACTGATTCAAGAGAAAGAAAAGAACATAAGGCATTTTTATTGATTCTGCAGTTTAAAACTGGCTGCTTGAACGCTACATTGAAAAGCTGTTCTTTAAGAGTTCACAGTGGATATCCATTCATCCTGTTCGGTCCTGGCATCATAATTACAGACTGGAACAGGTGTGTCAGACGGCTCTGATCGTTCTTCATCTTGCCTTTGCGTAACATTGGAGAATTTACCAAGCCCGCTGTGTCCTGTACCTCTGTGTCCTATACCGGTGTGTCCTGTACCGGTGTGTCCTGTACCGGTGTGTCCTGTACCTCTGTGTCCTGGACGATACCCCCAGAGTACAAATATTTTCACCCAGTCTGACCTTTGACCAAGAAACACTGTGAGGGATTCAGAGTAGGGATGGAAAATGATCACATTGTTCATCATTTAACGTGATGAATGTTCTCTTATCCCAAGAATTTTTATATATTGTTGTGATGATACGTTTTTAAAATAAGAGGAAAAAATATTGAGAGTATTAAAAAAAATCCAATACATTTGAAAATATGATTAACTGGAGTCTTCCAGTGATGTAAATCACACACCTTTATGTGTGATTTACACACATAAAGGTGTGTGATTCATTTGTTCTGATGTCCAGAACAAATGCATTACAATGTTTCTCCAGGTCAGTATTTGTGTTTGTGGAAATGTGATTACAATGTGATTCAGACACATAAAGATGCCTAAAAAAAGAAGTAATAAATATTTCTTATTGTCACTTTTATTATGATCACAGTAGTACGTTAAAATATTGTGATGAAACTTTAATTCCAAATCGCCCATCCCTATTTCAGAGTAGAGATTAGAGATCCATGTTCTTATCTGATTTTAACTGTTTTAATTGTTCATATAACTTCACAGACCATCACTTAAAAAAAAAAACAACTATTTCTTTAACTGCCCCTGCAGCTTACCCTGACAACTAGTTATTTCATGGTGTATGGGAGCTCAGATGGGACAAAAGAAGCTCAGTGAAATGAGCTCAGTCCTCCCCTTCGTGATGAGCGCTGCTCCGGATGGTACCAAGCCAATCCTCTAACTCTGAGTCTCCTTTTCAGCACCTGCTGCTGAGGACTGCTGGTCAGCTGGCTGAAACAGGGAGTCTAAACTTGAACTGAATTCTGTCTGCTTGGAAATGGGTTTAGCAAAAAAATTAATAAAAATAAAATAAAGAAAATCTGCCTTCCGCTGCCAGTACTGAACATGTCTGCTCCTACCAAAGGGAGTCATTTCCATACCTGGTGTGTTTGTCTGCTGAGTTACCCACTAACTGGCTCCTAACGCTCAGTATTTGGATGGACCTTTTTTATTGTTGAGAAAACATGTCAGGATAGAAAAGAGTTCATGTTTGGCTGTTTGTTTCAGATCACCTTGGTTTCCAGCGAAGCAGAAGATCCAGAGGAAACTACAGCTGGAGAACATCAGCCAGGTTCTTATGGCTCACATCTTTCATTCAAACCTCTTTTATTTCTAAAGAAGCTGCTGTAATTAACTTTAGATACAACTGCATTTATTAAAGTATATTTATTAAAACTGTCACCATGTTGTGTGACACTGATAATTTGTGGGAAAAAATGAGCTCTTCTGCCTCCCAACTTGAAACAACCAATCAGAACCAGGAGGCGGGTCTTAGTGCTGTCTTTGCTAAGCATTCATGAATGCTAGAGCTAGTTAGCATGCCTTCCAATGATAGCAGATATACAATTTTTCTGTAAGTTGTTTCTCTGCCATTAGTACATTGGCAGAGAAATGTACTAATGTCAACCAACATGAGGATGGTTGACAGCTCTAAGACCCGCCTCCTGACTCTGATTGGTTGTTTCTGGTTGGGGGCGGTGCATTTCTTCAGGCAGCAATAGCAGCTCAAGGAGGAGACGGAGGAGACGGAACTTTTCACACATTATCTGTCTCATATCATACTGTCATGACACAGTGACAGCTATGACAAATATGTAAAAAAATAGAAACCCTAGTGATTTACTAGAGTTGTAAATCACTAAAACATTTGATGAAGTCTGGAAACTGGAACATCTCTGTGTAACTCGTCACTAAGTGGCTTCACCAGTTTCTATCTTGTCCTTATGAGCTGAGCTCTGCTCCACTAGTCCCACACAGGACAACAAGATATCACACCCAACCCACCCAAGTATTCACACTGACAGTTCGCTACAGATCTTCAGAGCCGATAAATCCATTCAGCTCATCTAAAATGATCCCACCAGCCTGTGTGTAATGCATCTGGCAAGATGCTGCAGCTCCACTGCAGATCCATCATTATGTTTCAGTGGGTCAGGCAGGCTGCTGACTGACGGTGACTGATGGTGACAGGAGGCATTAGACAGAACTGAATCTGTTGGCCGGATTGACCCAGTGGATCTTGTTATGATGGCTCATGTCATCAGCTCCCTCTCCCTCTAGAGTAGTTCTGAAGTCCAGCAGCCGCTAAACCAGATGGTCCTGACCCCCCTGTTCTCTTGTTGCAGGTGTGGCTGCGGCCCCCGGGGGACAGATGAGCGAGAGCCCGTTCTTCCTGCTGGGACGGGTGGTCATGCAGCAGAGTTATGTCTGTGCTCTCATAGCCATGATGGTAACCATGACGTCCCTCTACCAACGCCATAGCATTGACCTTAGCTAATGATGTGGAGAAGAGTGCAGGGGACAATGTTGTTGATTCTTTATTGTGACGGTTTGAATCTCGAAAAGGACGGTTCGGATCTCTCAGGGGTTCTGTGGAGCGGCAATGAGATGTTAGTATCTTACCTGCAGTAGGAAACGCAACGTAACCGACTAACATCTTTGGTCTGTTGTGCTAAGCTAACAGCTTTGGTCAGAGACCAAATCAGGTGGCTTTCATATAGAAACGCCTCCAATTTTTACTGTAGAAATCTTTAAACCTTTCCTTCACATTTGATTCAACCATCTCAGTATCTCAGTACTTTTAAAAGCAGACCAGTTATTTATTCTAAAGGCTGTTGTATTCCTACTGACCGGGTTTTCTGACTGATTATGCTGAACGAGTCTCCACAGAACCCTGATCTAGCTGTCCCTTCCCTCTGGCCCATGTTGACCCAGTGTAGTTCTCACTCAGCCCGTTTTGTGTCGTCTAGGTGTGGAGCATCACCTACCACAGCTGGCTGACGTTCGTTCTGCTGCTGTGGGCGTGTCTCATCTGGATGCTTCGTTCCAGGTACCAATGACAGCCGGGTCTCGGGCCTCCTCCACACGTAGCCGGCTACCCGATAAACCCGGATAGAATAGAATCTGCGATTCGGCCTTTTAGCCTTCTGTTTATTAGTAGCAGTGTTGTGTGGTGGTGCGTTTTGTCCTGCGCTGTTTTGTTATTGTATAATAAAATATGTGTTAGATGTTCTGCTGAAACAGATGGTGGCTCAGGAGGTTTGAGTTTCGTTCTGCAACCAGTGGGTTGCTGCTTCGAACCCTCACTAAGTCCAGTTTTGTCATCATGTCCTTGGGCAAGGCATTTCACCCTACTTACCTGCTGACATCTCACTTCTGCCAAATGCAGTGGAAGCTGCTCTTGAGTCCCTAGAATTGATAATGGTACAACTGCAGGCCATTTAACATTTTTTCCTAAATTAGATTTAATTTTTTTTTTTTTACAAAAACAAATGTTTTGTTTTTGTATTAGGTTTTCAAATCTCACATCTGCCTAAAATGACTGTTGAGTTTATATTTTCAATGTGCGTTTCGTTTGTGTCTGCACAAAGTTTCTGTTTCAGCTGAGTTTGTCTCATTTATGCAGACGCCATGCAGCCACGCTGTGCTCTCCGTTCATCCTGCTCTACGGCCTAGCTCTGTGCTGTCTGCAGTACGTCTGGGCCATGGAGCTGGAATCCATCCTGCCCACAAAGGTGGGGACCATGAGTCTCAGACAGCTGGGCCTGGACAGAACCCAGTATCCCTGCCTCAGACTGGGAGCTATGGTAAGGTGTGAGCTGAGCCAGAGAACAGTTCTATGTTCTGGTTGGCAGATAGAGCAGAACCTGCACCTTAAACAGGCAGGATTATGTTAAATGAACTTTAAATTGTGTTATAATGTCAAAACCATATCTGGAGAGTTGCTTTGATTCCTGCATGTTTGAGAAATCCTTTAATCTCCATGGCAACCATTCAGTTGTGCAAAACACCTGGAGGGACCTGGGGGAGAAGCTGCACCTAAAAGGTGCAGCTTCTCCTCTCGCTGCAGTTTCCAAGCTTCCACCTCTCAGAGCAGCACTCCCCATCTCAGCTCCTTCAGGCTAGCCAGCAGGAATTAGCAAATATCTGTTAGAACTGCTCATCAGCTGAGCACAGTGCACCAGCTACTTCTCAGTGCAACGCTGGTAAGAACGTCAAAGGGTTAATAGAGAAGCTGCGTTTCAGAAAGAGCGGGAAAAGTTTTTAAAGAGACAGAGTCCCAATTTCAAGGTGTAAAATTACAAAGTCAAAATTCTTTCAAGTCATATTTGATATATGGAGCATTGCTGTAACAAGTGAAGGTAACATAGCTGCATGACTGTGCTATAAAATGGCACTGTGTGCCTAGAAAACACATCACTCTGTAAGGGGGGATTTTTCTGTGCTCTTGGATTATGGAGAAAAATTCCCACATAATTCTGCCTCTTTTGATGTTTCCCATGAGGCTTGTCAAGCGCAGGAAGTGAATACATTAGGTTTTTTTTAATATCTAGCTGTGCCACATTATAATGCAACACTTCCTGATACAGTATAGTTCCTGGAGAGGAGCTCCTGAAAGAATAAACCAATATGGGCACAAAGATGACTCTTCAAATGGAAGACAGGTGTTTATGCTGTTAGATGAGCTTTTGATGTAAGATTGTTGTTATAAAAGTGATTATTCTTCTGCCATTCTCCACAATTAGTGAAACCTCAAAAGTCTGGGCTGGTGCCCATCTCACAGTGTGATGGGCACACTGTAGAGAAATTATTACAGTAAAAATTACAAAATTAATTAAAAAATTAATTAAATTACAGTAGAGAAATTATTCCCTAATTTAAACTCCTGACCTGCAGTACACACACTGGACAGTAGAGAAATCGTAATGACAGCCTTTAATTAGTGAAATATTTATTCATTGAGCTTTTTATTAAATGTTGATCCATCGTTTCCCTGTTTTTCTTCCCAGCTTCTGTTCACCTTGACCTTCTGGCTGCTGGTACGTCAGTCAGTGAAGGAGAACTTCAGGAGGAAGAGCAAAATGTCTGCGCCCCTACAGGAAGTCACTACAAAAGGTAACGACGGTTCTGGAAACACACGAGCAAATCCTGGGGAGCTGGATTGTTGCACATCATCTCAAACGCATGTCTGCATCATGTGACGTTGAGTGCTCTTACAGTCTCCCCCCAAACGTTCCTCCCGTTACAAATAAACAATTTCATGAGGATTTACTTTTTGCGGGTTGTTTACCTTCCGTCGCCTCTTTATGTCTGGACTCTCTTTATGTCTGGACTCTCCCTTCTTTCTCAGAACTGGGCGCTGGCAGTGAGTCGGTACTGAAGGTTCTGGGAGGCATGGTGATGAGCTGCTATGCCAAGTACTGGATCTATGTTTGTGGAGGGATGTTCATCATGGTCTCCTTTGCTGGAAAACTAGTTGCCTACAAGATCATCTACATGCTGCTCTTCCTGCTCTGCCTCTGCCTTTATCAGGTATGAACGCTTTTTTTTTTATTAATTTTTTTTTACATAACATCAAATATTCTGTCTTCACAGTTTTTGATGGGCTTTTTAAAACTTGTGTATACGATGAATATGCAGTGGCAGATTTTCTTATGTCTCTTTGCCCAGTCGTACTCATAAATGTATAAAGTATATATTTGGTGGTGTATTTAATTGAATTGAATTGAATTGAATTTTATTTTTTGAGGTAGTACAAGTGCTGTTGATTATTTACATAATCGAGAAGATGAGACAAATAAGAGGCATAATTAGGGCTGTCATGATAACAAATTTGTTAGACGATAAATTGTCCCAGAAGTTATTGCGATAAATGATAATATTGTTGTTTTGAGACCATTTTCATATAACAGCGGCACGATGATGCAATAACATGTTCTCAAGGATAAACTTTAAATTCTAATGAAGATTTAAACAGTAGAACTGAAAGACATTGGAAATATCCAAAATAAATCGAGAAAACAACAGAAACAACAAATAAAATGAATTATGAAGTCTCTGTATACAAAACTATCTTTCAAAAGAGGCTAGATGAGTCCAAAATACCAGACTGAATATTTTTATTATTCAGTTTTTGGTGAAAATGAAAGAGAAAAGAGAACAACGATAAATCAAGCAAATGAAAATGACTGAGATTCTTTGAATTTATTATGCGATTAATTGATTCATTGTTTATTGTGACTGGCCTGGGCTTAATGACCAGATCTGAATGAAGTTCTGCAAATATAACTAAGTTGGTGTCAAATGTTTGTGCAGTAAAATTTTAGGTTTGTGTGGCTATCATTTTAAAGATATTAATAAAAAAAAAAAGTTTCCAGATGTTATCAGAAGTCATTATCATCAATATTTTCAAAGCAAAAGCAGCGCAAATTAAAATTGTTGTTGCACAAACTGAGTTTACTGGCTCCAAATTCATTTATTAATTTTTTTTATGTGAGCAGGGGAGCTGGCAGGATATTTGACCTCTGATGACCCCTGGATATTCTTTATTAATATTCTTAAAATTACCATCAAACATTCCATGGCAGTATTATTGGCACTTTAGTTTTCCTTCCCTTCCCTTAATTGCATTATTCTTTTTTTGTTTTGTAACTATAAACATTCTCCTTCATTTTCTATCAAGGCCAACAACTCAGTCAAAACTGACTGAGTTTATTGTGTATTTGCATATTTATTCATCCTCTGGACTTCAGCCGTTTTTCTAGTTTATTGCAGCATTAATATAAAATCTGTACTGTCTGCATTTTGCAAGAGTCAATAAAAAGGAAGAAAACATCATTTTGGATGAGTTCCCCAATAGTGATGAAAAACAGAATATTCCCACAAGAGCAGTTATAAAAATACATCACAAAGGCAAGAAATGAAGAAGAGGAAGGCGAGAGCCAAACTGCCGGAGCATTAAAAATAAAAATCAACATGTATGAGAAACGTTGTGTTTTGCTGTCGCTTTTATTCCTCTTTTTACTGTTTCTGCTGCCCGACTGTTGTTATTGATGACATCTTGATCAAAATGTAAGTAACGGTAATGTGTTGTGTCTTCTTTGTGGTTTGCATGCTTTGCTCATCAAACTGTAACCATACAGGCCTCCACTCTGCAACCTCGTTTATTAGATTCATTAATGAAATGAGGGTCCATCTTAAAATATGGTGTGTGTTTAAAGGGCAGGAGTTCATAACTTTCTTACTTCTTTCTTCTCCTTTTCAGGCATGTTAAGATTATTATGGTACAAAATAATATATCTTTTGCATTCCTTGTTCATGTGTGTGATTTTATACTGCCATTATGTTGAAAAATAAAAAAAATGGGGGTAGTAAGATCTATGTGGGGGAGAATGACAGTTTATTTGTTTGAATGAGTTGAGTGTTTCCTCTGACATTTCCTCCACCTCCTCACCAAAGCCTTGTTTCCATTCTGCAGGTGTACTACTCTCTGTGGAGACATCTGCTGAAGCTCTTCTGGTGGCTGGTGGTGGCCTACACCATGCTGGTGCTCATCTCCATTTACACATACCAGTTTGAAGACTTCCCCGAATACTGGAAAAACCTCACTGGTTTCACAGATGGACAGTATGTGTTTAAACTCCAGGGCTGTATCCTCCCAGCTACTGGTCATCCTTTGAGTTTAGAGCTAGTGTTGGGACTAACCCAGTAAGGTCTGAGCTGATGCGGTGGATGTTCTGCTGGTTGTAGGCTGGCGGCCATCGGCCTGGAGACGTTCGCTCTGTCAGAGCTCTTCTCCAGCATCCTCATCCCGGGTTTCTTCCTGCTGGCCTGCATCCTGCAGCTGCACTACTTCCACAAGCCCTTCATGAAGATCACAGACCTGGAACACGTCACCCCCAAACACAGGTACACACACTGCTGCGGCCCGGCTGGCTGTTCCTGCTGGCTGTTCCTGGACCTCACTGTGTGCAGTACTGTGTGTTGCAGGCAGAGTTGGGTACATTTACCCAGTTATATTTACTTGAGTATCTTTTTGGCAAAAATTGTACTGGTTTAAGTAAGGTGTACTTTTTACTTTTACTTACACAATATGCTTGTAAAATATCACTACTCTTCATTGGGTAAAATTTCTGGATTTTCTGTGCCTAACTTCACTGAATGAAGAACAAAAATTCACCAAGCAGAGACACACAACTTCAGTTTTTGGATTGAAAATGTTTTTGTTTTTGTTTTTTTGTCTGATTTTGCAGTTATATTATTTACGTTAACTGCAGTGACTTAACTCAAATGTTTTTTGCGAAAAAGTTGCAGTACAGTTACACATCAGTGCAAAAAAAAAGTGCTGTTGGTTTTGCGTGAAATTTTGTGATTGCAGGATTGGGAAAAGACGAAGGGAAAATTGAATGTCATTTGGCTGTAAAATATAAATGTCTTTGATATGATCAATCAAATAATAGATAAGCACTCAGCTGCTGTCTTGAAGGCTCAGTTTGTCTCTCTGGAGACTCGAGGGCAGAGCTGTAGACGATGCAGCGCAGACGATGCAGCGCAGACAAACAAAGACAAATATTTTAAAGGGTTGACCTCGCTTCGACATCTTCCTTTTTTTGTTCCTGACTCACCTTGGAGTTATAATGGTCGAGGGTGACTTAAACCTTTATGTTTGGTTCTTCTGACCAATCAGACATCTATCTGTTTAAGAAGTTCTTCTGCTTCCAGGAGGAAGAATAAAGAAAGAAGGGAGGAAGTCGTCTCTGGTAATGTGAGGGTAAACCCTGAAGAAGAAGAAGAAGAAGAAGAAGAACTGGTGGCAGACAATGATGAAGAATCCGAAGATGAAGGTGAATACTATTACTTGTTATTTGCATATTGAGATGTAAATCAGCATGTTATTATGCTATAGTATGGTTCTATGCATTTTGGTGGTAATCCCCACATGTGAAAGATATTTTTATAATGGTATTCACATCATTGATACAGTTGCATCTGATTTATAAATATAAATAACTTTCTTCATAAAAGATCAAGTTTAACTTAGAAAATCAACTGGAGCTAACCTGTACTATTTTTCTTTACAGTTATCATATGTATAAATGACCTTGGAATCTATGATTAGAATGAATGAACCATGTTTTTTTTCTGTATGAATAACCATCAAATTCACATCCTGGCATGATTGCTAATAGTTTCTGTCCTGTCTGTGATGTCGCTCCGTATTTCACCTAGTTTCTCTCTCATTCCAGAGTTGGTTCCCACTAAGTGGGGCCTGGTGATGGACAGGATTCTGGTTCTGTCCAGGAAGTTCACCGACATCCTTACTAAAGTCCAGGGGTTCCTTTGGAGAATTCTGGAGCTTCACATCCTCAAGATGGTGGCTTTTTTCTCTGTGTGGGTTGCCCTTAAAGAGGTAAATATATGGAGAGTGACAGTTATGAGAGCATGTTGTAGTAAAGGCTGTGATTCATGTCAGAGATGTGTGAGGTTAGCTGTGCTCACACATAATACTTGGAGTCTATCTTCACTCTAAACTGACTCAGGATGGGTTTGTTTACGGAGGAATTTGGATATATGTCGACTCAGCAACATTAGGCGACCTCTAGTGACCTTGTAAGGAAGTGCAAGTGTTGACTATACGCGTTGTCCGGGTTACCGACAAAAAGGGAGTGCTGCATGATGATAGGATTGTGAAAGTATGTGTTTTAGCTCAAGAACAAGGCAGTTTGGATTTCCCCTCCCATACCGAGAAGTGCCTCCTCTTTACCTGAAAGCTCTTGCACAACCGCGGCCAGGTCAGGTGCACTCACAGAGTGACTCCGGCTGCAAATATGTGGAGCAATGTAAACACTTGAGAATGTAGCTGTTCCAGGGTTTTAAACTGGAGTCGTGTTACCAGAGGCTGCACTCAGTGGCTTTGTCTCAGAGTGATAACATTTATCTGAGTTTGTATTTATTCAAACACTTTTGCCAAGGACCAACAGAAGAACGTCACAGTTGGACGCTCCAACAATATGATGAACACATCAGACTTTGTTTTGTTGAAGATAACCTGGGCTAACTTTGAACTCTTAGAAGGGCCTCGTCAAAGTCAACCTGGTGTCAAATTGGTGGACTACTGATAAAAGTTAGTCTCATTTTGGAAAACCAACTTCTTCTGCCGAGACGATTGGTCACATATTTACCCAGAATTATGTCATCTTGTTGATGGATACAGTAAATGCCGAGTGCAGCTTCCTAACAGTTTTATGGCACTGTGGGTTTCACAGTGCTCACATGTGAAGGAATCCAAAATAAATGAAAACTTGCACATCCAGCTGTTGTTTGAAAAATTCATTGAAGTTGTTTGTTGTATTTTTATTCCATGCAGGGAACTTGTGCATTCTGGTAAATGTAAATGATGTTAAAGTTCTGATTCCTCTTGGACGGTGTGATGTCATCTTTCCCATCTTTCTTGTCCCGTCTGAAGCCATCGGTGATGAACCTGGTTCTGGTGGTGTTGTGGTCTCTGGCGATGCCGTTTAGCCGCTTCAGGCCCATGGCGTCATGCCTGTCCACGGTCTGGGTGTGTGTCATCATCGTCTGCAAGATGCTGTACCAACTCAGTGTGGTCAACCCCACAGAGTACTCCTGCAACTGTAGCATGGTAAGACACACCTCGGCTCCAATGAACGTAGCAGCCTGGTGTCGTTGGTTCTGTTCTCTGTTGAAGCTTTAGCTCTAAGTATGTTGCTGTGTGTTTTTAAACCTCTGACAGCCGCTACCAAACACAACCAACCTCCTACCAGAGGAGATGATGAACTCCACGCTTTACAAGGAGCCTATAGATCCAGCCAAGTGGTTTGGCATAAGGAAAGATGCGACTGCTTTGGGATACAGTAAGGTAAGGTCAATTCTCATTTCCCTGTAACTGATTCTGTTGTGTTGTGGATTTATTGATCCTTTAAATAATCACTATTAGATGGGATCCTTCCTCTGATCTGTGCTTGAAGCATAATCTCTCTGTCTCTTCATCGGTGTGAATGAAAATATTTCCAAAACTCCCATCTTCCCGCCTTAAATGGAAGATCAAACATTGGATGTCATGCTGACATGGTTTGTCTGTCATATGTTTGTTCCAGAATCATCTGATTGTGCTGATGCTGCTGGTGTTTGAGGCTACAGTGTATCGTCACCAGGTTCACCATTATCGGCAGCTCCTGCGATCCCCTCCCACCATACAGACTCTCTTCCCCTCTGCAAAGAGAGACACTTTGGACAACGGCCTCATTCCATGCTTGAAGTACCTGCTCAACTACTCCTTCTACAAGTTTGGTTTGGAGGTGGGACGTTATCGCATCATATTTTCCACTGCACTGCACTTCTGTTATGCTTCAAAGGTATTTTACTTCTTTAAACTCTCCCCTTTTTCCCACAAAAAGATATGCTTTCTGATGACGGTGAATGTGATTGGTCAGCGGATGAACTTTTTGGTCATCATCCATGGCTGCTGGATGGTGGCCCTGCTGGTGAGGCGGAGACGAGCAGCGATAGCTAAGATCTGGCCCAAGTACTGCCTCTTCCTGTCCATCTTCATGATCTACCAGTACCTGCTGTGTGTGGGCATTCCTCCTGCTCTCTGCATAGGTGAGTGCTGCAAGGACAGAAGAATAGATCATTCTGCTCATTTCAGGATGAATTTTATAAGAAGACCATTCAGGCTTATAAGGCCTGGTGGGTCTGCAGATTTTACCTTCGTCCCACCAGGCTGAGGATAGTTTGCTCATGTATTCTAGATACTTTTATTCACCAGTGACGGCAAAGATGGTTTTAAAAAAAATCTAGGAATTGTTTTTCCGTGGAATCTATTTTTTTCTGCTCTTTTTTTTTACCCTCCAACTTTCTCTCCAGCAGCTGTCTGTATGCAGCACAAAATCCCAGACAGTAGACCATCAGCAGGTGCTAGGAGTTGATCTGAACCAGACTCTGGTTCTGGGTATCAGAACCAGAAACCACCGGCTGTAATCTGCAGTCTGGTAGATTTGACCTTTTCTCCTGTTCTCTGTGTGTCTCTGCAGATTACCCATGGAGGTGGAACAATCAGCTGTTGATGAGCTCAGCGCTCATTAAATGGATCTATCTGCCCGACTTCTACACCGTGCCCAACTCCAAAAACCTGATGGGTCAGTTTGGTGCCTCTGTTTCAGGTTGATGATGATGAGGATGAGGAGGAGGACGAGGGTCACGTCTTGTTTCTGTTCACAGCGGACTTCCTGCTGCTGATGTGTGCGTCCCAGCAGTGGAAGGTGTTTGAGTGTGAGAAGCAGGAGGAGTGGATGGTCCAAGCAGGAGAGAACACCGACGAGCCTGATCCAATGGAGGGCCAGCTCTTTAACCCGGCGCCTAACTTCATCAACTGCAGGTAGAGTTACTGTATCAGTGTTCACAAATGGAAACGCTTCTCTGGATCTGTTGTGACGTGACACCGTGCGCCCCCTGCAGGAGTTATCTGGACATGGTGAAGGTTCTGGTGTTTCGGTACTTCTTCTGGTTCGTGCTGTCCATGGTGTTCATCACAGGCGCCACCCGGATCTCAGTGTTCGGACTGGGTTACCTGATCGCCTCCTTCTTTTTCCTGCTGTTTGGAACCAAGCTGCTAGTCAAACCGTCCAGAGTCCGCCTGATGCTGTGGGACTGTCTCATTATCTACAACGTGGCCGTCATTATATCTAAGAATGTCTTATCTGTGAGTATGAAGCTTCTGGTTTGCTCCTTGTCTGTTAACAAAACATCTCTTTAGAGAGACGTTTTGTGAATGTTGTTGCTTTATTGCCTGAATTTGCTAGAATTATTAGCATTAACCCCTGACCCTGGAATTAACAATGGATGGGTATAACAATAATTTGTTATTAGTGACAGGCAGATTGTTCATACCACTTTACCATATGCAAGAACAAAAAGTAGGTGTGATGCAAATTAGCAACACCAGGCATGCTTGGATATAGTGTTGTTATTATTAAAATATTAATGAAACTCATTTTTGGGGTATGAAGAATTTACAGTCATTCTATATCAAAAATATACAATGAAACCAATCTCCAGTGCACGCAGTCAAAGCACTGTCCTGCTCTGCAAACTTAGAGTTTGACAGAGTCTGTCATAAAAAACTGAATTAAGTTTATTGTTTTTCTCGGTCTGTGTGTGTGTGTGTGTGTGTGTGTGTGTGTGTGTGTGTGTGTGTGTGTGTGTGTGTGTGTGTGTGTGTGTGTGTGTGTGTGTGTGTGTGTGTGTGTGTGTGTGTGTGTTGCAGATCCTGGCCTGTGTGTTTGTGTCTGAGATGCAGGCGAGGTTCTGTTGGGTGATTCAGCTCTTCAGCCTGGTCTGCACAGTTAAAGGATATTATGATCGTAAGTCCTTCACTTATCACCTCATCTCACAGAATAAATATCTGGTTACAGTATAACCAAACATTTGTACTGTCTGTTTATACAGACAGTACAAATGAAAGTTGTAAGTTCATGCTGGTGAAAGTTGTAACTTTCACCAGCATGAAAGTTAAAATTCATATGAAAAAATATTGAGCCTCAGGGGGAATTGAGGATTTGGAAAATAATTACTCTAAATTACAAATCTAAGTCTTATTTGAAACAGGCTCTTTCTGTTTTGCATTAATCTAACAGATTCCTGATTATTTTTCTCTACATTCTCTGAGTTTTTTTGTAATTTTTTTCCCTTCCCAGCTGCTGTGGTGAGCGGCGACACATGCAGCCTGCCGGTGGAAGAAGCGGGCATCCTGTGGGACAGCTTGTGTCTGCTCTGCCTCCTGCTGCAGAGGAGAGTCTTCCTCAGTTTCTACTTCCTGCATGTGACAACAGAGCTGCAGGCGTTTGCCAAGCAGGCGTCAAGGTGAAGCGCAGCATGAACCGAAAACGGCTTTTCATTCAGCAGACAGGAGAGTCGTGGATTTAAACGGCTGAACACACAGGGCCTGGATAAAGCATTTCTACCATCTGAACCTTTTCATATTTTTTGAAGGGCAACATAATTTACAGAAATCCATTTTATTTGTTTTTTCTGTTGTTTCATTTAAAACGTCTTCCAGGTTCCAGCGTTAATCGTTCATTAGAATTTAAAGTTTATCAAGTTTATCAGAATGTGTTCTCACTATCAGGATTTCACTTCACTGTGAAATCGCAGTTGTTTATTTGTGTTGTCATGATTTTCTGTAAATATTCAAGAAATGTACCAACAGGTATTTTTCTTTTCTGTCTCTCAGAGGGTTTGAGCTCTTCAGAGCCAGCATCATGAAGAATGTTAAGTTTCACCAACAGATCGAAAAGAAGTCGCTGTCGCAGCTCAAAAAATCGTGAGTTTTCTCTTCATGACACAGTAAATTGATGTTGAAATGATATGAAGTTCAGCAGGCGTTTTGGAAGTGCAAACTAAAAAAGTTTTGATGCTAAAAACGTCCTCTGTCCTTTCTTATTTTCCTCCTTTCGTGTCCTCTTTCTCCGCCCAGCATGCAGAGGATTCGCTCCAAGCAGCAAAAGTACAAGGACGGACAGAAGAGCAGTGATGTCTCCAGCAGCACTGACCACTCCTCTGAAGCTGGTAAATGTAGTATGTAGTCCACCACTTCGTGACGTTCCATCTGTAAACGGCGTCACTGGTTTCATTCTTTTGAATGGTTTTAATCTCATGTAAACATTTCCCTCCAGAATCCCGGAAAGACAAGAAGAAGTCTAAGAAGAGAAGCTGGTACCAGCCGTGGATCGACCATGCAGGAGGTACCGTCTGCGTTTTGACTGAGACTGATACAGCAGCTCATCCACAGCCTGAAGCATTCCTGCGTTTATTTTATATAACAAATATTAGCACATGATTGTTAATTGGCTAAAAACTCTTATTTATGTTTACCTGAATATTATATGTTCAGCAGGGGAGCCAACTGCCAGGTGATGAGCAAAGATAAAACAAAGATAAAACAGGGAGAATGAAACAGGGGGAAGCAAATCTGAAATGAATTAAAGCAGTAAACAAAACAAGGAAACTCTCATTTAAAGAAAACAAAAATCCAAAACACAAAGGATGAGAATAAATAAACTGACATCAGGCATGAAGTGGCAACATGTGACCAAAGAAACGATAAAGATGTATTTAAAACAGGAACACGAGTGAAACTAAAAGTCCAAGCATCTACTGGCAACAGCAGGTAGAAACTCGCCCAACAGACTTCCAGCTGTAATTAAAGCAAAATGGAGTTATTGAGAGCACAGGCTACTGCCACGCTTTCTTTCCAGAGTAATATTTCTATGAAAACAAAAGATCATTTTGCTCATCCTCCACAATTCTGTCGTATAAAATGCTGATAAAGCCAGTTCAGGTGTACGACTGGTGTGACTGAAAATAACATTTTATTAAAGTTTTTTTTTCTACTGTAGTTATTACTGTATCTCATGCCGGAGCCTCCAGTTTAATCTGACAGAGTGAGTTTGTTTGTGTCTGCTGCTCAGTCATCCACTCAGGAGATTACTACCTGTTTGAGTCCGACAGTGAGGACGAAGAGGACATGAACTACGAAGAGAAGAAGCCTCAGGCTCAGACTGCCTGCCAGGTCAGAACTCATCCTCATAGTTCATGCATGTCGATAAATTAGCAGCTGCTGAATGGAAATGTGTCTCCCAGTTGGCATACCAGGCCTGGGTGACGAGTGTGAAGGCGGCTTTGAGAGAACGCCAGAGACATCAGAGACACATGAAGGCTGTCAAAGGAAAAGAGTCAAAGAGACAAGAAAGAGGAGATTCCCAACAGGAGGCTCTTACTCTGAAGGGTAACGACTTTGTGCCAATAAAACTCAGAATCTATCAAAAGTTTTTGGATTTGACTGAAATGGATCTTCAAACGGGTATCGGTAACAATGTGCCGGATCCATGAGTGCAGATCTATTCAGTCTGATTCTATGATTTGTGTGTCGAGTGACACACAAATCATATTTAGATATTCTATTTAGATTTCTTACTTTCTGAACAATTTTAAAGATTTGTTTCAGTTCATTTTGTGCATGTTTGACCAAAGTAGTTAACCTCTGGTTTTTATCAATCTCTCTCTTTATTTTACGTTGACTGTTCAACTCCTAATTGAACAAATTAAACTTGTGTTGGTTTTACATGTTTGACCAAGCTTGTGGATCTATTGGTGTATTTCAGTGTGCTGTGCTGGTGCAGTTATCAAATAAGTGTGTAATTCTGTACATTTATGTCTGTGTGTAAAAAACAAAACAAACAAACAAAAAAATCAGATTGTTTTTCTCATTCCTAGTTATGATGAATTGCTACCATGTCAGGTAGAGTAGCTCAGCTGCACTGCCACCACCTCATCGATCTCTTGTTGTCTGCATGCGTGTGTGTGTGCGCGCGCGTGTGTGTGTGTGTGTGTGTGCGCGCACGTGTGTGTGTAGCATGTACAGATGAAGTTTTTGAGGAGACCAATGACAACTGTGAAGTCGAGGAACCTGAAGAAGAAGAGTCTGGTAGGTAAACATTTACAATGAATATCCATATCTGGTCGGTGTTGGACCTCGCCCAGAGTTTGCAGCTGCACTCTCATTGGTCGGCTTCTGCTGTGGAACAAATTGCAACCAGATGCTATTGGACGACGTACACATGGACAGAAATACTGTCTAACCAAACGCTAAGCAGTTACTGGATAAATTTAAAATATGCTTAATCTCTGAGGCAAGAATAATAAAAGTAGTCATAATTGTAAAAACTGCCTTATGACAAATCAGAGCTGTCAACAAACGTAAAAATAAAAAAATAAAAAAATGGGATGAAATTGGTTGTTTGAAATGTCATATTTATGATTCACAACTTTAAAGTTTTGCACCTTATAGAAAAATAATGTCCTGCATTGCTGCTGAATTAAACATATATATGCACTTTTGGATATTTTTATTTGTTGGCATTCAGTTGAGGTCTGATATTGTAACTTCTCTGCTGTTATGCATTAGTCCTATTTTATTTTCATTGTTTAATTCTAATCAGATTTTCTTTCATATGTCCTGGAACAACACTTTGGTGGAGTTCTAATCTGTTTTTAAAAGTGCCATATAAATAAACTTGATATTGACATTGAATTAGGAAGCACCATCTGACCTCGGACACGGTCTTGAGCTTTTTGCTGTGTGCTGCAGTGCATGGAGAGATGGTGCAGAAGATCCTGGACATCCTGCGCTTCCTGTGGGCCATTATCCTGGCCATGGTGGACGGAGTGACCCAGTGGCTCAATCTGCTCACGAAGCAGTACAGAGACACATCCACGGTCCTGTGCAACGAACGCTACTTCATCATCCACAAAATCAAGCAGGTGTGTGTGCAGACTGGAGCCTTTCTTCCTTTACTTTGGTTTGTTTGTTGGACCAAATGCACAGGAGCACAAGCATGAGCATTTTTAAAAATAGTAATTATACAGTTGTACAATGTCTGTCCTACAAACGTTGAATATGTGTCTTCCCGGTCATTGCAGCAGGACACAGCCGAGTCCAGAGAAGACCTGGTGTCTCAGAACAGTGAGAGTTCCAGCCAGAACACAAGTTTGGTTCCAGAACAGGCGGCCAGAAGCAGGTCAGTGGGACGTTGACCAAAGCTTCTTCTTACCCTTCCTGTTATTTATATTGTCAACATGTTTTAACATGCCACAAATTGCAACTGTGGTAAAAACTGATCAGTGCAGCAGCATAAAGTAGGAAAAGGCTGATGTTAGAAAGTCCTGAACCTGTTTCACTGGACTTCAACTGGTGACCCAATTGTGTCTGATGTGAACTAGTTCTTATTCTCAGTCTGACACTGAAGGAGTCTTTGGGTTGAACATCTTCATTCTGCTACCAGACTAAAGTCCTTCATGCTGTAGCGAGTCTTTAGGACTCAGAGGGAGATGGTGAAGATGTCCTAGGGTACAATCAGTCGATCATGACTGAATGATCTACTTTCAGGTCTGGAATGCTGTTTTGGAGGAATGTTGTTTGAGGAAAGTGAGTCTAGACCCTGTGGGACATGTTGAAACATGCTCCAGGTCATTGACCATCTCTACTGCTCTATAATGCCCTTTCAACTTTTCTCAGTGTCACCAATGGAGAAATGACTTCTGACTTAAGTCGGCCTTTGCCTTCTTATTTTTGGACCTGAGGTCTTTTCTTGTAGAGTGGAAGTGTTTCCACAGACCTGGTGGCTGATCCAGTGTCAGGAGGGATGGTTGGTCTCTCTGCAGTCGGGGCAGAAGCTGAGGCTGAAGGGCACGGGGTCGTCACCAAGGTGATGATATCCTCCATGCTTCCTAATGCAGATGACACCAGCTTTTACAGCCTCACTGCTATTCAACCTTATTCTTTGTAATTCTCAAGAATAACGACATCTTTCCTTTGTATTTGTTTTGTTTTTGATACAGTTTCTGTAAAATACACTCCACTAAAACTACTTCACTTTGAACACTCGACCCCAGCTCTGTAATAAAAACATCCATAATCCGCTGGAGGCTTCAGGTTCTGTTCTAGAAGTGTGTTACATTTGTCTACGGTGGAGTTCCTCAGGGCCATGCTGGTCATACTCTATTTGCTCATATGCATTAATATACACAGTGGGGGTTCAACCAATCAGTGTCAAGGAAGGTAAATGGCACTTTGCTATTGGTTGTGTTGCAATCAGCGTATTCAGTAGCATTATGTTTTCAATTTTCAGATTCCAAATCTGCATTTTCTTTTGAGTATTTTAAGTTTTTTGTAAGAAAATGATGATGAACTACTTCCTTTCTTATTTCAAAATAAGAGTCCTACGGTGAGATTCTTAAAGCTTTAACCTTTACATCCAAGTTCCATAATAATAACTTAGTTTTTCAGAAAACATCACATAGACCCCAGCCAGTCAGTGCTTTGCTTTAGTGACATGACTAGCAACATGTTGGTAGTGAAGGAGGGTCTGCTTGAGATGCTGCAGCTTAAAAAGAAACTAATGGATAAAAAGAAAGTCAATCTTGAAAGGTTTGTTCTGAAATGTTTTGTATTTCTTTGTGTTCACATGCACGTGTTTGTGTCTCTACACGAAAGATTGGAAACCCCAAGGCGCAGCAGCAATGGGAATCTCCTCACTGAAGACGTCCTGAGCAGCAGCATGGGACAACAACCAGAACCGCTGAGACAAACCAGACACTCCAGAACGGCCAGTGAGATCCTCTCCAACAGGTGAGGCATCTGAACATGGAGTTTTCTTATACTGACTTTACAGAGGGCTGTGACTCTGCAGTAGCAACACCAGACTCGAAGCAGGGGGTGAGAGGTCATGTGTAGGAGGAGAATCCTGATCGGTAAAGAGGCAGTATTAAGTAAAATAAAATAACTCTTCCTGAAGGTGGAGTTTCTGAAAGAGCAGGAGTTTTTAAAAAGACAAAGGCCCAATTTTAAGGCCTTAAATTAAAAAGTCAAATTGCTTTTCAGTCACATTTGATATATACAGCAGTTTTATAACAACTGAAGGTAACATAGTTATTCGATTGTGCTATAAAATGGTACTCTGTGCCTGGAAGATATGTAATATTATCCCTTTAACAACACATGCGGCGTATTTCAGCTCTGATCTTTGATGTTGTGAGTTTATAAGGGATCTCTGATGAAGACGACGAGATGTTGTGACATGTGCTCAAGGTCTTTTGCCGTTTGCCCCCTCAGGGCGTTTTTCATCGAAGAGCTGGAGCAGAGTAGAGATTTCTTCAACAACCAGAACCGGCTGCTGAGGCTGCTGGTGGCCGTGTTCAACCTGCTGTCGGCCAACTCCGAGCTGCTCTGCTACTTCATCATGGTCCTGAACAACGTGGTCAGTGCCTCGGTCATATCCCTGGTCCTGCCCATGCTGGTCTTCCTGTGGGCCATGCTGTCGGCTCCCAGACCAACCAAGAGGTTCTGGATGACGGCGATAGTCTACACAGAGGTACGCTCACATCGGAACTGGGAAAATGCCAGTTCACTGTCAGATGGTGGATGGAGAGAACTCAGCCACATCACTCAAACACACAGATTTACACACAGATCAGTAGACAACCTGGGGGTAAGTGCCTTGCCCAGGGGCACATCAATAAAAGACAAGAGGACTCTACCCAGTGAGCCGGAGCCGGTCCGTTAGTTGAACTATCTATTTTCATCTCAGATTGGGAGGGTGGAGTAGTAAACGATTTTCTCTAACCAAGAAGATCTGGTAATGATGAAATACTGGAGCTGGAAGACCCGCATGCTTACCTCTAAACAGCAGAAAGGAAACTTGTTAAACTGACAGTGATCCTTCACAATGGTGGAGAGTGAGAGGTTGATCAACACTTAGGTCCATAATTATTCACACGCCTGAGAAAATTAAATAATCTTTATTAAACAAAGAAGTTTGTGTTTGATACAGTATAAGTAATTAATCTACTAAATGTACATTTTAAAATTTTCTATTTTGATTTACATTTTAACAAGAAACGCGTCAAGACTTATTCAGACCCTTATTCAGTAATGAATAGAAAAAGTCTCATGAAAACCTTCTAACTGCTAAGCAGCTTTTCCTGGTTTGGTATTTTAATTCTGCACCTCACTGCATGCCAAGCCAAACTTTCTGGCCTTGAAGTGAAACATGCCTCCAGTGTTTAGCAATCAATTTTATTTTTAAGCACCATTGAGAGAACACCATCAGGTGCTCAACAAGCGCCCCCTGGTGTTCAGTTGGTTCTGTGTGTAGCCTTGAATTTTCAGGGAAACAATCATTGTCAGTTTTGGGACATATTGAAGCGTTTTACTTTTGTAAACTTCCTGGTGACCGCTGCAGTCTCAGTGGTTGTGGTTGTTGCTTCCTGTTGTTTGGGTTCGTTTCTGTTTCTGTTCTCCTCTGTGCTGAACCTGAACTGATTGTGATCTATGCAGTTGGTTTATAGAATAGAATAGAATAGAATTTACTTCACTGAATTGTTTATTCATTGACAAGCTACTCCATCTAAGGTATTAAATATAAATTTTTACAAATATGACCATATAAAATAAAGTTCTAAAATGAATATATATATATATATATATATATATATATATATATATATATATATATATATATATATATATATATATATATATATATACCTAAGAGTGATGAGATAATTCAATATGATTGAATGTAAATAAATAAATAAAGAAAGAAATAACAAGCATACAGTTGCAAATATAATCTAGAAATAATCCATAAATGACTGAAGAGAAAATTTGAATGACTTTATTCAAAAATGGGCATTGTAAAGTCTAATGGCTGCAGGCAAAAATTGTTTTCTGTGTCTCTCTGTAATTCATAGTGATTGTTATGGTGTCTCCTTCAAGGTACATTTCCTGCGCCATATGTCACTGAATGCAGAGCTCGTATTGTAACAGTTCTCTTAATGGTGTTTAAATATTGGTTAGAAAAAGATTAGCTTTGTGAAAACATATTACAAGGTGGCTACGTAATCCTGCAATATGACTTCAGCAGGGTTTCAACCACCAGAAGAAAAATAATCCTAAAAGTTGGGACAAGACTACAGTGAGTCAATACCTGCTCAGCAACAAATGACCAAGCAGTTTAATTAAAAAAGATCTCAAAGTTGTGCAGTTCCCAAACTTGTTGGTCAACATATCATTTTTGAGTTTTTTCCTGGCAACAAAATAAGAAGTGCCTTTGAGAACCCCAAACTGTATTCAGACCTTTTTAATTACTAGATGAGATTAAGTCTGTTTTTTTTTGTTGTTTTTTTTTTAGAAAAAATGCTTGAAATGTTCTTAAAATGTATTACTTAAGGTATAAATCTCTCATGGAAAATCTCATACAAAGAAAAACACAAAACGTCTCCATCAGCTCTACTTGCTGGAGTGTCATTTAAACCATTCATAATTTACATGTAGAAATGTACTAGATCTGTGATCGTAATCGTTTTCACATCAGTTTATCCTAGTTTTGTTGCTTGTGTGAAAATGTGATGTGATCAGCGAGTGACTAAAGGCTCTTGTGGTGACTGTGTGTGTGTAGTGTGTGTAGATTTGAGTTCATGTCAGAGTAAAGAAGCAATCTCCTTGATGTAATAATAATAATAATGGATGTTATTTATAATGCCCTTTCTATCTTTAGATTTCAAATAAAGATGTGCCTGATCAGGATGGAGTCACTGTTCCTTCCTCCATCCACTGACATTTTCTCCATTGTTTGATGAGAGTCAGTGTCTGTGACGCACAGCTCACCTGTGCTGCTGAGCTTCCACCACACTAACGGGATCGTTGTGCTCTGCCTCTTCCCAGGCCATGGTGGTGCTGAAGTACATCTTCCAGTTCGGGTTCTTTCCGTGGAACAGTGTTTATGAGATGACTCTGAACGAAGACAAGCCCTTCTTCCCACCGCGCATCTTCGGCCTGGAGAAAACTGACAGCTACATCAAATATGATCTCCTGCAGCTGCTGGCTCTCTTCTTCCACAGATCGCTCCTCATGGTCAGTAAATGTTAGTCACACCACACACGCGTTGAACACGCTGTGATAATTTTTTTTTTCCTTAATACTTTAAGGAAAAAAATTGCAGAACAGTGCTGCTTGATCTTCCTGTGTGTTCTTCCCTCCCCGCCAGGTTGATGTTGTAAATAATCATTTCTTCTTAGTAACTCACTTGTTTAAATACAGGTTAAAAGAAATGATAATACTAAAAAAAAAAAAGATAAAGTGATAGTAAAACTATTTATTTCATGTTTTTTTCAGGTAACTGTATGTCTGTGACTTTATGGCATAGCAATAATAACCCCACATGCACCGCTCCTGAGAAACATTCCTGTTCGTAGTGTTTCTTCAGGACCGGTCACGTTAAACCTCCCAGAGAAACGGTGTTCAATCCTATTTTCAAATGTATTGATATTTATCGACCCCGTCGTTGAGCAAGCAGTGGAGAAAATGGTAAAACTAACAATCCCAACAGTTTGGGAGGATTTCAGATATCATTTATGGGAATTGATTGTGAAACAATAAATCAAAAGATAAGAAATTTATCTCACTAAATGATGGTTGACACAATAAATTCCCAGCTGTAATCTGACCCAGATTGAGGGTCTTCCTGTATAAACAGAAATGTTCCATGTTCTCCTGATTTACTGCAGTCCAAAAATATGCATGTTAGTATATTATAATTTGATCATTGGAGTGAGTGTGTAAAACATGTCTGGTGTGTAACATGCTTCCTGTCGACCCTTCCCTGACCCTGAACAAGACAAGATGCGGATATAGACGGATGAGCAGAGACACAGGAACAGCAGGAGGCTGGGGTCATTAAACCAGGAGCTGATCCAGGGTCAGCCAAGATACACATGCAGGATGAAAGATGTCCAGAACCATCTGGACCCGGTGTGGGCAGGATGTCCCAGAGTCACATGGGTAGATTGCTACTGGGACAAGACCAGGGTCGGGTTGGACCTCTAGAGCCAGACCAATCAGACATAACGATGACTGAAGGCAGTGGTGAACAAGCTCTAGAAATAAAAATGGCTGAAAGGTGAAAGTGGAGAGGTTGTAGTGGCACTGAGACGGTGACCTTCAGGGTGGGATGGTGGATCAGTCAGCTGAGAGTTTTAGATGTTGCCATGGGAATACTTTACTGATGTATTATTGTGTTAATGAAGTTCCTACCTGAGGAGACGTGGCTCAGGTGGACCTGATGAAGAGTCAAGACCAAACCCTGACCACAAGCCTATGACTCTTCTGTTACATAAAGCAGTGTTTTTGTGTGTGTGCACAGCAATACGGTCTGTGGGATCATGAGGGCCCACTGGAGGAGCAGAGTGCATCATCAGAAGATGGGCATAACGTCAGAGCAGGAGAGGAAACCGGGAGCAGGAAGGAGGAAGCTCAAGACGCTAAAAGAAAAGACCAGGTAACACAACGTCAGGCCTGAAGAACCTGACCACTGGTCACTTTATGTCTTATGAAGATGTCGACCAACATGAGATAACAGCTTCTTTGATTAAATTTTTGTTTCTGATGACAAAGGACATTGAAGAAGCGGGTCCTAGTTCAGACGCCGCCACCATTCAACCGCCTGATGCGGCTGAGGTGCTGCCTGATGGGCCGGGGGGCGACCATGAAACCAGGAACAACACCGTGGATATTCTGGACGAGGTGGAGAGAGATAGTCAACGACTGACAGGGGACGTCCCGAAGAAGGACACCAAATGGCTAATGGGGGACTTCCTGAAAAGGGACAGCAAACGGTTGACGGGGGACGTCCCAAAGAGAGACAGCAGCATCCGGTTCCGCAGAAAAAACAAGAAAGCCAAAAAACAGGACAGCAAAGGTTTGTATGAGCTGCAGTGTTAACGTTAATTACCCCATTACCCCATAACCCCCTGGTTCATCAAGACCATTTTATGGTCCAAGCTGCTTGAACAGATGCCAGAGCAACTGACTTCTGTGCAACTTCAGAATGATTTACCTCTCACCCTAAAGGTTTCTTCTGAGTCCCAGTAGTTTATTAGAATACATCATAAAATTTAAATGTATATAATCTTGGACGTCCTGTAGCAGATTGTGGGTTACAAAATCATATGGTACCCCACTAACACACTGAACTGCATGTGTTTCCTCTTGGATTTCCGTTGATCCAAGAGGAAAAGTCCCATCATCTCTCTTCCCTTTCAACAGTCTCCAGCTCCCTGATGGAAACAGAGTCTCTGTCAGAGACTGCAGAGTCTGTGAAGGAACCAGGGAAGAAAAAAGCAAAAGACAAGAAGAGTGAGGCCATGCTCAGATTAATCACTGTGGGACACAAGATACAGCAAGTCTTCATAACAGGGTAAGACATGCAATATAAAATCACTGTGAGAAAGTTTCACTGTGGCGGCCATCACTTATTTAAAACCGATTCAGTGACTTCATGTGTAGCTCGGTTGAATCCATTGTAACTGACAGTAAACATCAGATGTGTGTGTTTTTCTCTGCAGGTTCCAGAATGTGAAGCAGCCGGCTCAGAGTTTCTTCAGGAGTATAACCAAGGATAAATATCGGGCCTCCACAGATGTCTACGCCCTGATGTTCCTCACCGATGTCGTTGACTTTGTCATCATCATCTTTGGCTTCTGGGCCTTTGGGGTAAGAGACGATTGCTTCACCTAACCACAAACACACACAGTCATCTACGACGCTTACCTCTGCTGCTGCAGCACTCAGTGTGCAAAACATGCACAATTACACAACAGTACAAAGCAGAAGTAGTGCCTCCTGCACAACCAATGAGAATGCAGTAAATGGTTTCTGGACGGTAAGTTAACAAAACAGTTATCCTTTCCAGCAGCCAGGGGTTGCTAAATGTCATTTGGGTTTTCTAAATGTCAGTGGAGTTTCAATCTGTCCATTGGTTTGTTTTTGTACCAAAGGAACAGCACCAGACAGGAACTTAAATGCAACCAAACTTGAAACATTTAATACTGCTGCTGCAGGATTAAATGTGTGATCGCCATGTTCAGTGTGTGTGCTGCAGGATTAAATGTGTTAATCGTTTCTAGTGAAAGTTAAATGTTGTGATAGTAACCTGAGTTCATCCTGTATCCTGTTCAGAAGCACAGTGCTGCAGCAGACATAGCGTCTACCCTGTCGGAGGACCAGGTTCCCGAGGCCTTCCTGGTGATGCTGCTCATCCAGTTCAGCACCATGATCATCGACAGAGCTCTGTACCTGCGCAAGGCCGTTCTGGGGAAACTCATCTTTCAGGTTCATATCATGCATTTTAAGCACGACTGGCTTCAGAAAGCTGACTGCTCTGACAGCTCAACCCGTCACTTCCTGTCTGTTCTGCTCATCTGGTGCCGTTGTTTTCCTCCAGGTGATCCTGGTTCTGGGAATTCATCTGTGGATGTTCTTCATCCTGCCGGCTGTCACGGAAAGGTGACGTCCGATCACTTTATGCCATTCATAACCTGCTTCATACAAATGATCTGTGCAGACATGAAAGTGAGGTTTGTTTGACCCAACAAACCTCAGTGAGTCCTGCCTGGATCACACGACTGGTGTCCAGGATCCAGTTCTGCTGGCAGTGACTGTATTAGCCGTCACCACAAAAACGGACGTTTGCTAAACTACTAGAACTTTGACCAGAAATCGTGAAGTCCCACGTCCCCTGAACACATCGCCTGACCTTCTGAATAAAAGTATCTGTTTGTCGTATCTTCTGTTTGTCTGTCTTCCTGTAGGATGTTCAATCAGAACTTTGTGGCCCAGCTCTGGTACTTTGTCAAGTGCATCTACTTCGGCCTGTCGGCCTATCAGATCCGCTGCGGTTACCCCACCCGTATCCTTGGAAACTTCCTCACCAAGAAATACAACCACCTCAACCTGTTTCTCTTCCAAGGGTATGGAAACATCACAACCATAGCAACCATAATCGTCTCTACTGTACATGTGACTTTATGGGTTCATATTCTTGGATTCATATCAGTGAATCCAGTGCTTGATTTTTGCAGAACGAGGTTATAAATAACCAGTCTGGGTTGGTTTTATGTGTGTGTGTGTGTGTGTGTGTGTGTGTGTGTGTGTGTGTGTGTGTGGGGGTGTGTGTGTGTGTGTGTGTGTGTGTGGGGGGGGGGTGTGTGTGTGGGTGTGTGTGTGTGTGTGTGTGTGGGTGTGTGTGTGTCTAGGTTTCGCCTCGTTCCATTCTTGGTGGAGCTGCGTGCGGTCATGGACTGGGTTTGGACCGACACCACCCTGTCCCTGTCAGACTGGATGTGTGTCGAGGACATTTATGCCAACATCTTCATCATAAAATGCAGCCGGGAAACAGAAAAGGTTCGAACCAGAAAAGTTTAATATCCAGGACTAATATGTCAGAGGGTTGGGATTTTTCAGGGAAGTCTTTCACAAAAACCTGCCCAATTACACAAAAGACAAAGAAAGGATAACTCAAACTCATTGTTAGAGCTCTAAACTAGTAATATTTGATGTTTGATGTTTCATATTCTGAGAGGCAAATGAAAGCAATCGCAACAGAAGTAGAGCTGGCTGGAATCAGACCTGCTGAGGTCGTTTGTCATTAATTGGTTCACGGTCTTTAATCCTGTAAATCATGTGATTTTAATTAATTATTTTTACATTTTCACAGAAAATCCTCAAACCAACTCCATAGCTTCTGTTCTGTGTAGTCATAAAGATATTTCTATCATCTCTGTCTTATTTTTTTCCAGAAATACCCTCAACCTAAGGGCCAGAAGAAGAAGAAGATTGTGAAATACGGCATGGGCGGACTTATTATTTTCTTCTTAATCTGCATCATCTGGTTTCCTCTTCTCTTCATCTCATTGGTCAGATCGGTGGTGGGCGTGGTTAACCACCCGATCGACGTCACAGTCACTTTCAAACTCGGTGGTTACGAGGTAATCATGCACCTTCATACAAACTGAAACAAAGTCACTGTGTAAGTTTTGTTATGGGCATAAATACATTTTTTAAAGGACCATCAACTGTTTTAAGCTTTCCATCATGTTATGATGTTGTTCCCTCATCAAAATCTTACTTGTAGTGTTGCTTTATTTCATGTTTTATTTCATGCATGTTTGAGAAATCCTCTAATCTCCCATGACAACCATTCATTATATAAACTGCTTCTCAGTGCAGCGCTGGTAAAAACAGTTCTAAAGGGTTAATGGAGAAGCCAGGTGGTGACTGACTTCCTGAAGGTGGAGTTTCAAAAAGAGCAGAAGCTTCTTAAAGAGACAGAAGTCCAATTTCAAGGTGTTAGATTTAAAAAAAAATCTTTTTAGTCATATTTTATATATACAGCATTTTTATAACAAGTAACACAGTTACTTGATTGGGCTAGAAAATAACACTATTTAGCGGGAAAACACATAATACTGCCCCTTTAAAGAATTATGATCAAACTTCGCTTATTGTTACCTAGAAAAACTATACACTTAAGAGTAGTGAAAAGTATTACATTTGAATATTTTTTTACATGGTTGGTTCCATAAGAGGATTAATAAATTCCAAAATATCAATAAAGGATGTTATTTTGTGTAATTCATTGGTACGATAGTGAATCTAGGTTCTTATAGACGAAGACTGATCAATGTGTTAATGAGGCTTTGACTTTACGAAGTGACGCAAAAACCAAAGTATGTTTTATTATGAAGTTCTCTAAAAATTTATGAATACTTTTGTTATTGTGATAAATGCTAAGATATCGACTTGCCATCCCTGTAGACTCCTTCACTCCCTGTAAAGATAATGATTGAAATAAATTAACAAACCCAGATGAAGCGACTTCCAAGCAGTGCATGGAAACTTGTGATCATGACCACATGTGGTGGCAGCTCCATAAAGCAGCGTGTTGTGTCCTGTGCTCCAGCCCCTGTTCACCATGAGCGTGCAGCAGCAGTCCATCCATCCCTACACAGCTGCTGAGTACGATCAACTCACCAAGACGTTTGGAGACAATGCCGTAAGTACCGACTTCTCCCAGCTGCCATGTTCACAGTGTGTGTGTTGCAGAAAAATCCACATATCGTATAAAATCCAGTTTCGTCGTCACTACTCCATAGACTCAGCGAGAACTGATGATGCTCCCAGGTCTCTGAGCTCTGTGTGTCCCTGCATTTAGGTGGCTATGCAGTTCATCACTCTGTACAGCTATGAGGACATCGTAACGGCCGTGATCGAGGGCAGCTCAGGTTCCGTGTGGAGGATCAGCCCCCCCAGCAGGCAGGAGGTCATCAAGGAGCTCCTGAACAGCCCTGTGGACCTGACCCTCCGCCTGGCCTGGACCTTCCAGAGGTCAGACCCATTCCAGCTGTGCAGCGCTGCCTTCTGCACATTTCTAGCTCTTACTGAGAAGGATGTTCTTATGAGCTGCATTTCCACTATCCAAAGGATTGCACAAATTGAAACTACGAAGATGCAGCATGTGGCTTCTAAAGAGAACATGTTTTTTACATATTTGTTAAAATTGTTATCATGTCATGATAGTTTGATGTGAGACAAATAATCTGTGAAAAGATCATTGTCCTGCACCCTGCTACTACTGCTATCCAAAGAATTGCAGCACTCCCAACTCCTAAAATCAATCAGAGTCAGGAGGAGGGTCTTAGCGCTGTCAATCAGGCTCACGTTGTCGCTGTTCAGTGTGCTGGTGGCAGAGAAGCAACTTACTGTTACAGAAAAACTGTTCATCTGCAGTCATCTGTGGCCACGCTAAGTCGTGTTAGCATTCACAACAGAATCTGCTAGCAGGAAGGAGCTGCAGAGAGATTGTGATTGACAGCACTAAGACCCGCCTCCCTGGCTCTGATTGGTTGCTTCAACCCAGCAGTAGCATCAAAGAGGAGGAGGCAGAGGAGCTGGATTTATTGATTTATTTATTTTTTTGTCGTAGATTATTAGTCTCGTAACATACTGTCACGACATGATCCTGTGCGGTTGTCTCCGCCAGATCTCTCACCTTCACACAGTTCAGAAAAAGTTGTGTCATTCCAAAGTTTTGAATTCGCAGCTCTTCTGCTAAATCACCAACTACAATTTCCCCAAAACGCCGCATACATAATCAACTCCAAGTATAAGTTGCTTGTCATTCCAATGACACCAACGTCTCCTCTGATTGGCTGATAGAGGATGAGCACATGTAGTTGTTTATTTTTTTTTACATTAGCAGAATACAGACAAATATGCAATGGAAATGCAGCCACAATTGATCATCTCACTCGCGCACGTGTGTGTGTAAATGTGTGTGTTCCCTGCAGGGACCTGGGGAAAGGTGGGACCGTTGAACACACGTTTGGTAAACATTCGATAGACCTGGAGCCGGGGAACCCGGTTAGAGAAGAGCTGGCGTATCTACTGATCGGCAACCGGACTGAGCCTGTGTGAGTTCAACGTTTGAATCCCCCCAGCTGTGATAAAAGATTCAGTCCTAACAGATCACTGACCCCCCGTCCTCCACAGGCTCATTCCTCACATGTTCCCTAACTACATGCGTGCCCCCAATGGAGCTGAGGCCAAACCAGTCAGTCAGCTGTACAAAGGTCAGAGTTCAATCAGTTACTTCCCTGTTCAACCTTCTCAACACCACCTGAAAGTTTTCACTTTGTGTCAAGTTAGAACCTCAAATGCTTTTAGGATGTCGTGGTTTTATCAAAGTAGCACGTAATGTTGATATTACATGTTTGATTTTACTTCAAATATGAAATAAAATCTGAAAAGTGCAGCAGGCACTTAATTTAAAGTCCCGGTCAGTTAAGAGAGTTTTGATCGGAGTTTGTTTCTGACCTCAGAGACCAAAAGTAGAGAATAGACAGCTTCACCTTCCAGGAAGACGACAACCCAAAGCTTTCAATTAAAGCAGATTGTTGTTAGAATGGTTCAGTCAAAGACCAGACCCAGATTCATTGCAAATCTTTGGCTGCACTAGAAAGTTGAAGTTCACAGAAGCAGCATAAGTTGGTTCCAAACAGTTTTGAGTTAAAAAAAAAAAAAACATCAAATTTTTAGGCAGAAGTTCTTAAAAAACCATGTATCATTTGAACCTGCTCTAATAAAACGTTGCTCTGTTTTTCACATGGAATCCTAAAATAAATACATAGAAAATTGTGTTTGAAAGTCCAGCGGGTGTGAATACCTCATTCTCCTTGTCAGCGTGTTTTAAGTGACGTGTTGGTGTTGCAGACGATGAAGCTGATTACCAGAACATCAACCTGTCCCTGAAGAGCGACAGGTCTGTGAACGGCTCCTGGGGGCAGGAGTGGTGGGACATCTACGTGGTGCCCTGCCAGCAGCCATGCAGCGTGCTCCGCATGGTCATATTCAACGACAAAGTCAGCCCACCGAGCCTGGGCTTCCTGGCTGGATACGGGTAGGAGACGCGTCGCTCAGCACGCTAACTCACGGTTGCTACGGTAACACTATATCCCGCTCCTCTTAAAAACGTGATGTCTGAAAACATCGCCACTCTCAGCGCTGCAGCACAGGAAGAACCGAGAAACCGTTTGACTGTTGCTGACGAGGCAAAGCAGCAAAGCACCACCTCACATCTGAAGTGACTCTGAACTGCTGAAGAAATGAAAATATGAACTATGACAAATACAAAAGCATCAAAGGCATGAGAAATAATCTCATGTTCTTCTTGTTGCTTCTTATTTTAATCAAATGATACCCATGATAAAAACATTTTTGGAACTCATTGACTCTGTAAACTTTTCTTTAACATTTGTTATGCAAAATTTGAATCATTTGACAGCCTTAAATTACAGGACACAGTGTGTTGCCATGTAAGCGTCAGTTGAGCAAAGGCAAAAATAAAAGAAACTGTATCTGGAGTGAAATTTTATTTAGTTTCAGGATTGGGCAGATTGAAGCTGATCTGTTTCTGTCTCTCTGATTGGATGGCCTTTTGTAACCTGTTCTCCTCCTTGTCCCCGTCCTCCCAGGATAATGGGTCTGTACGTGTCGGTGGTCCTGGTCATTGGGAAGTTTGTGCGTGGTTTCTTCAGTGAGATCTCCCACTCCATCATGTTTGAGGAGCTGCCCTGTGTGGACCGCATCCTGAAACTCTGCACCGACATCTTCCTGGTGAGTTCAGACCAGATGCGTCCGCTCCGAACCGCAAGACAGAATTGACCCACAACTTTTTCTTTCTCCCTGTCTGGGATCCATATTGGGCCCTTTACTTCTTTCATTGTATATTTTGCGGTTGGGCTCTCTTGTGAGACGCCTCATTGCGATACAGACGACCTACACATTTACTGACCAGTGGGGCCAGGATGCAGCAACCCACTACTTTCTCTTCTTAACTCCGTCTCTGCAGTCAAAGAGTGGTTCATTCAGAAACTTTCTGCTTCTGAATGACCAAAAAAAAAAAACAAGCGGATCTTATTTAGAGAGAAAGCTGCAACTGGCCTTGGAAGTTTGACAATGTGAAAAACCTCAGGGTTACCGCTGACAGACAGGGCTTTGCAATTTAACAAACAAATTGCATCTTGTCCTTCCATAGAATGCTATGACTGTATTCAATCATTGTTACTGTAAGAATATTGTTGAAGCTTTTATCAGTTCTAGAAATGATTCTTCCAATTCTTTTTTATGCCGGTGTAGCCCAGTCATCGTTGAACCGTCTCCAACTCATGCAGAATGAGCAGCTTGTCTTTTAATCAACTCTCTCAGATGGAACCAGGTTCCTCTGTTATCCTCTCTACATTGACATCCTGCCCGTTTTAGAAGACATTTTAATTTTTATTTTTAAAACCCTAAATGGCCTTTATCATCTTTGTGTTCCATGTACTAATCGCAAACACTGGTTTTACTGCGGAGGTGATTTCTCTATAGTAGCCCCTCAACTGTACAATCAACTTCCTTCAGATCTTTGATTTGCCGTCAAACTCTGTCCTTTTCAGTCAAATCTTAAAACATTTTATCCTGTCAGGCTTTTCCTACTGGAACTTCTGGTTTTATTTTGCTTGTTCTGGGTTGCTTTGCTCTGTTTCATTTCTTGTATTTACCTGTTTCTATGTCTTTTATGTTCTTTTTGACCCTGACTTTGGTCTTTTACACTGTGGTTGTAGTGCTGTATAAATATATATATTTATATATGTACTACTGGTTTATGTCATGTTTTTCCACGATGGTTCACTTCATGAGAAATGGAAGTGTCCTGGAACATCGTCGGTCCAAATAACCGATGTTTCTGTGTGTTGAAGGTTCGGGAAACCGGGGAACTGGAGCTGGAAGAGGAGCTTTACTCCAAGCTGATCTTCCTCTACCGCTCTCCAGAGACGATGATCAAATGGACTCGGGACATCCACCTCAGAGAGCAGGACTGACGCTGACTGTGAACTTGACGTGAAGCACAGTGAGGAGGCGCCCGGCGGACAGCTGATGGCGGGCGCCTCAGAGACGCTGCTGTGTAGGCAGAGTAATGTGCAATGTGAACCATCTCCTCATGCTGGACTCTTTGTGTTTCTGCTGCTGCCTGAGCATCCGGATCAACCTGAGCACACACTGTAGGAGTCGGGCTGCGGCCCCTCGGGGTCCTGGGGGGATCAGGCTGCGGCCCCTCTGAGGTCAGGAAGCAGCTGGATGTCTGTTGCATCTCTGCAGCTTTGACCCAGGCTGGGTTTGTGTGGGATGGGGGGCTAGAGGAACCGAGCAGGTGCACAACTACCTGCTGGTCCAACCAGCTGCAGGCCTCGTGTGTCCATCTTCTCCATCCCGGATCGGGTTGGAAGTCATTAGAAAACTATTTTTAAAGTCATGGTGATTGGTTGTCACAGCAAACTAAAGACAATATGCTCACACTTTATTGAAAGAAAAAAGAAGACATCCAAACATCCATCCATTTTCTTACCCCTTGTCCCTAGTGGGGTTGGGAGGTTCTGGTGCCTTTCTCCAGCTAACGTTAAAGGCGAGATGCAGGGTCACCCTGGACAGGTCAGAAAGAAAACATGTTTCTGTTTTTTCAAAGATGAAAATATGAGGTCCCAGTAAAGTTTCTGCAGCAGAACCACCTCGTCTGTTTGTTACAGATGCATGTAAAGATTCTTGGTCATATTTAACTTCTTCTATTTCAGACAGCCTGGGTTTCTGTGCTGTCACACAAACCTAACATTTCACACACACATTGCTCCTTTTCAGCTCAAACTCTAACCATGAGATCTGGACCAGCTCTCTGTTTTAAAGGAATACTTGAAATGAGGTTCTGTTGAAGCGTAAGAAGGAAACAATATCCTACCTAACACAACTGACTTTTGAGTGGCCATTATTCCTGAAAATGTTAATGAATCATTATTAAATCCAGATTAGTTTGTCTCAGAGGCTGAAGGCCAAAAGTATATTTCTGTTTAAAGGGGCAGTATCATGCATTTTATAGCATAATCAATGTTACCTTCAGTTGTTATAAACTTATATCTATATATCAAACATAATTTCAGATAAATTTGACTTTGCAATTTAATGACTTGAAATTGGACCCCTGCCTCTTTAAGAAACTCCTGCACTTTCTGAATCTCCACCTTCAGAAAGTCGACACAGCAACATTTCTGTGTATCAGAACATTATTCTTAGAAGTGTTTGCACTAAGCAGAAGTGCAGCTCCACCAGGTGGTTATTGCTGCTGCCACTAGTCTGAAGGAGCGCTGTGGAAAAGGTGGAAATCTGTGCGAGCAAGCGTTTAGGCACCTCATTACCACAGTAAAATAAAGGATTCCCCAAACATGCATAAAAACATCACAGCAACACTTCGTGTATGTTTTTGATGAGGGAATAACATTTTAACATGATGTCAAACTAAAAAGTTCAGTTTTACACCAGACTGCTCCTTTAACGTACAAAGAAACGTAGAAATTATTAAAAACTCCATCTTAATTTCTCTCAGAGACTGAAGGCCCAAAGTAGACTTTAAAGATCTCCAGTCTCAGTTTATGGGATTTATTCACCTTTGACCTGTCGTCATGCTTACATTAGAAGTTATTTACACAGCAGCTGTTGGTTACTCACATGGGGAAATGGAGGAAGGAGGCAATGCGCCAATGTCCCCTTCCTGGAAACAGAACAGACGCTGCAGCAAAACTAAAGCTTTGGGTTTTATTTCAACCCTGCTAACAGTTTTGCAGTTTAAACCATCCTCCTGTCGTTTCCACACAGTTCCACTGAGTGTTACACGTTCCATTCTCTGTACAACACAGGAACGTTGTTGGTGTGCTGCTTTGTGAAAACGGTTAGAAGTCTGCTTTCGGACTGGCGCCTCGGACTACTTCAGCCTCTGGCACCAACGGACCTGGTTCTTCACTAAATGAAGACGCTAAAAACGTTTTCTACTGCTTTTAACAGAACCTCAAATCAAAAATCCCAAACTGTCCTCTTGCCATAGAGATGGAGGAGGATTGGATTACGGTGGTGGTGGAAAGCTGGATGTTTTTTCTAATTGGCCTCTCTAGTCAGACTGACTGACTAACTCTCTGAGTCCACCACAGTTCCCAGTTCCAACCCATAGTCAACAGACTGGCTCCCAGAGTCGACCAGTCACCAGGCAGCTTTATCTGCTTCTTCGCTCAGTCTGATACCTGGGGAGTTTCAGAAGATGTTGGAAGATAGAAATCCCTCAACTCGGCCTAATCTATAAATCTATAAACCATAAAATGTTTCTGAACCCAAAGGAAGATCTGGTGAGTCTACAGACCAGACAGCTGAAGCAAAAGACCGTCAGACACCTCTCTGCAGTCTGTCACAAAGACATCATCTATTCTCGCTTTCTCAGTTTGAACCTATGAAAATTGTATATCACACAGTTTGAAAGACAAAACAGAATTTTGCACCAGGGAATTGATTCTCAAAGAGCTGAACATTTGAACAGTGGGTGATTGACTAAAGGAAGACACACGTCTCTGGTTCTGTCAGCTCTTCACCACAAGCCTGAAGATACGTCTTCCATTTAGCCGGATTGTTTCTGCTCTCGGTTAAAACCTCGGTGAAAAAGCAGCCAGAGTCCAAAGACCCATGTTGAATTTGCTCCGTTAAACTTTGAATGACTTAGAAACAAAGCAAATTGGAAACTCATTTTAAAAATGGATGATTCTCTTTACCTCTTCACTAACCATAAAAAAAATGAACACTACTGTAATGAGCTGAGACCTCCTGGAAAGGTTGGTGCTCCACCAGACCAACCAGGCGAGTCTTGAGGGATCCGGCAGGCTCATCAGGCCTTTGGTCAGGGAAATATCTAACTGGGAGCACTCAACTGTTCCCCTGGTTACGATATACCAAGACCAAGACATCAGCACATCATCCTAGCAGTGAACCATAAACGGCCCACTTCAACCTTCTGGTTGATAAATGGGAAGGAGACATTTATTTATTTTATTTTGCAGTTTAGAGATGATGATGTTTCCCCTCACTGGTTTTACCTTTATTTTTCTCCCAGTTAAGTCAGATAAACACCAACAGGTGAGGGAATGATGCTGACCTCCTAATGGGAGGTCAGCATCATTCCTGCCTTCCTCTGCTTGAAAAATGTAGCAACACGAGATACTTCAGATAAACTGTAGAGCTGAAACCCTGCAGTGAACATTCATTGAGCCGTTGGAAGGATTGGATGACGGACTGCACTTTGAATTTTCTTTCATTTCCAGTGAAAAACAGTATCCATTGTGACTGTATATAATACATGATTTCATGTATCAGTGTTCTGTTATGATATGTTGCATAATTTGATGATTCAATAAAGAGCAGTGCCATGTATTTGCTGGATCCTGTGAGGTCTGTTAAAAATGATCACGCTTTTATAAGCTTGAAAAAAAAATGAAAACACAAACAGGTGGGATTTCTGTCGTCAGGGAAAATGTCTGAGTTCTTTCTGATGTCCTGAACCTGAATGCAACATAGAAGCACAGCGCAAGCACACACAGTCCCACCAAGTTATTGTGGTTTAAGAGGAAATAAAAAGAAACTAACTTACAAGTAACTTTTAAGTGAGAAAGAGCTTATTTTAAGCCAGTCATTCCAAGTGAAATAATTTTCCAATGGAAAGTCACTTTTTTTTTTTTTGCAATATTAAGAGATTATATATTTATAACTGGCTGCATAACCATTAAATGTTTTCTAGATGCACATTAGAAAAGTGTGAAGTGTGTTTACATCCTGGCTCTTTGTGTTTGTTCTTGTCTTGTGTTCAAGGTGAGTCAATTTATCTGAAGGGCGTGTGTTCCCTAACATTTATATTATCTGAATTAAACATTGTGGTTTGGAACTGAAAATCATTGAAACAGAAAGAGGTCACCTACAAACGCTGCCGTTTCGAGTGACATTTTGACCCCTGCAGGTTCCTGGTCCTTAGCTCCTCCCACTCCAGGCTCATTATAGAAACAGAAGGTGTTTAGGTTCACAATGAATAAGTTTGTCACAATAAGCAATTGATCAAATAATGAAATAATCGTATGATAAAAATGAGCTCAATAATTTTCATCCTTTTGTTTCATTTGTGTTTTTTGAAGGTAAAATTTTCATTTCAAAGAAAATTATTTTATTTGTGGTTCTGGCTGTGTGTGGTTTTTATTTCCATTTTATCAACTGTTTTATGTTGCATATTTCAAATATCTTCCATTTCTTGGGTGAAGTTTTCTTTACAAAAAATTTTTACCTTATTGGTCTTTGAGAGGGTGAATTTGCATAATTGTGGTATATTTAACACATTACTTGTTTATCACAATAATTTATCAACCAACAAAATTTGTTACAGTAACAGGCTTAGGAATCCATAAATTATTTTTTTAATCAATTTAGAATCCGTATTAAATTTAAAATAAATATGCTTTAATGCAAATATTATGTTTAGAATCAATACTACTGGTGATTAAAAGAGGAAATTGGTTTAGAATGTAAGTAAAGAGATTTTAATAAAATCTACAAAAAGCAACAGAAAAATGAACAGCTGATACAGGTTAGTGTCCAACATGGCCCCCTATTGGTGGACCATGGAAGTGTTGAGGCCACATGCGTCTCATTCCAGCTCCACCAGCAGGTCTCCTTCCCCCACCGTCTCTCCGGCGTTACAGTGGACACTCTTCACCTGTGGGCAGAGAGGAGCGGCTGATTAAAGGCTCTCCTGCTTTAATTCGGTTTCCTGAAACAAACGAACAAGCTTAGCTATGGTTACCTTTGCTTGCCTGGCAGCTGTTAAACTGTTCTGCATCTTCATGGCTTCAATCACACAGATTTCCTGACCCTCTGCAACCTACAAAGGGAGCATCCATCAATGCCTGACCGCAGCCTCATCTGTAAAGTCTCTACATTACATGAATACTTCTAAAAATAATGATACTAAACATGTTTTCACATTAATGTAACTTGTCAGTAAACAGATTAAAAACAGTTTAGATTTGATTGATAAAATAAAATCTGTCTTGAAGTGTCTACTTATTTCGTCCTCTGGAGTTTAGAGGGCTGTATAAATACTTGTGGCGTGCCAGACTCGGCCCCAGGCCTTTAGTTTGACGCATTAGAGCCGTTACCGTGTCTCCAGGCCTGACGGACACGGCCACCACTGTTCCTGGCATGGGAGAGCGCAGGATGCTGCTGGTGTCCTCTGACACCTTCTCTGGCATGTAGGAGTCCAGCTCTGCTGCCCGCTGGGACAGAAGCCTGAGCTTAAACTAAAAAAACAAAACACACACACACCTGAACACATCCACGTGATTACCAAGTCACACACAAGGCTCCAACTTTTTACATGTGCTTTACTTAGAAACCATTACAAATATTTTCATTAGTTATGTGATTAATCTAAAATGTGTGACTAATCTGATTAAGCTTTTTAACTGATAGACAGCACTAATTTCCATCCATCCATCCTGTAGTGAAGCCACATCATTTCCTAGTTTCTCCAGCTCATTCTGGGGAATTCCTCCAGAATCTCCTCCTGTCAGCCATCTTGTGTGTTTTCAGAAATGACATGACAAAGCTTCCTGCTAGCATGTAGTCTTACCAGTGTGCCCATGTACTGCAGAACTATGGTTCCAGAAGCGTCTCTGGACAGACACTACAACACACACACACATGGCAAATGACAGCTGAGAAATGGCGTCACATACAGCCAGCTTCAGTGCGGAGAAAACAACCTGGAGGCGTTACCTGGAGCATCCTGTCTGCACCGTTAACTGAGACTGGCAGCAAGGGGGAGGCCAGGTTCCACTGCCCACACACCTCCACCTTTCCTCCGGCAACCTCCACCTGTGAGGTAGGAGGCCACATGTACCAGAACCAATCACTTGTTTTTATGTGAATTAACATGCAAACAGAGCAGAGTTACACTTTAGGAAAGATGCACCAATCCGATTCCAATATCTGTATCAGTCCCGATATTGAAAAAAACCCTCTAGATCAGGTATTGTGACATTGTGCACCGATCCATAAAAGAATCGTCTCTTCAGTCTAATTCTATGCTTTGAGTGACATCATGTTTTATGATTTATTAAACATGATATTTAGAACTCCTCATTGCACTTTCTGAATCATTTGTAAGGTTTGCTGTCTTTCTTAATTTTTACATGGCGGAGGTATCCAACCTATCATTTTCAGCAGTTCAAGTTTCTTTAATATTTACTTTACATTGACCGCTACACTCCTAATTGCCCAGACAGAGCTATATTGAGTAATAGCTTGAGAAGGTATTGGTGCATTTAAGGTGCTGCACTGAGGCAGAGTTATCAAATAAATTTGTAACTTATTATTAGATTTACAAAATGTTTTTTTTTAACTAAACCTCAATCGTCTGTGGATCGGTGCATCCCTAGATTTAAGGTGTAAAGAGTTTTTGAAATCCTGGGTACTGTGCGTTTGCAGGTTGATGTTTCTTCTTCTGTGGCCACCAAACTTCAGAAAACTAGTCAAAACATCCACTAGTTAGACTAAAATAACTAGCATCACACATGTATGCACCTGCTGCCTTCTCTATATAGTACTTACAGTGAAAACATCGCCTGACTTGGTGACGTCCACCTGGTGGCGCTCTCCCCCCAGCTCCACACTCAGCTCCCAGCAGCTGCACTCCACGGGAGCAGAGGACACCCTGCAACATGTCACGGCCGAGTTATGAATACGTCTCATGTAAGTGTCTACATCCATCGCTGATGTGATTTTCGATAACTTAGTGCATAAACAGGCTTATTTGCGTGAGATTTTTTTTTCTTACTTAATTTAAACACTACAATTGGGGAATTGTGTTTTCTTATTTACATTAGCAGAATATAAAAGATTTGCGCACATTTGTAATGGAAACTGCTGCTGTTAAATGTTGAGGGGCAGAAAACACTAAACCACTTCTGCCCAAAAAACTGTTTGTTAATCCAGTCCCACATTTCCAGCTCACAGGTTCCTTCTGGTTCTGATTCAGGGTTAAACCCAAAAACCAGCCAGCAGCTAGCATGTAGCATGTGTAGCATGTAGCAGGTTACCTGAGCGGACCCAGGATGTTGCGTGAACGGAGCTGAGTGGTGATGTACAGAGCTGCCGCTGAGGCCAGCAGCTCCCTGCGGCTCTCTGCGTCCAGCTGGTGACCTTTGAACCCGTCAGGGTAGACCTCAGGCAAAAAGTTTGTGCTGATGTCACCAGAGATGAACCGAGGGTGGGTGATGATCTCCCTCAGCAGAGGGATGTTGTGGGTTACACCTGAGTACACCAGACCAGAGGCGTTTAACGGAGCAGACCGACCCAGATCCTGATGCTGCCGCCGCCGACTCTACCTCTGATCACGTAGTGGTCCAGAGCGTCCTCCATCCTGGACAGAGCCTCGGCTCGGGTCGACCCGTAGGTGACCAGCTGCAGACACAGAATGGATCAGTTACAGCTCAGCTCTGGAAGATCTCTCAGAGGCAACGTGTGAATTTTTCCAAGATTCGTCACCTTGGAGATCATAGGATCATAGTAGATACTGATGTCACTTCCTTCCTCAATGCCGCTGTCCACCCGGACCTGGTAGAGAACAGAGCCGGTTACTCAATGTTCACACTGAGGAAACAGGAAGTCAGAGACAGAGGGTTGTCCAGGTAACCAGGAATCACCATGACAACAACAGAAACTTACGTTGCTGAGGTCGAGAGGCTCCTGGTACTCAGACAGCCGGCCAATAGAAGGAAGACCGAAGGACTTATAAGGGTCCTACAGAAAAACAGGCAGTAAGATGAACAGCACTAGTCCAGTGACTTTAACCAGCAAACTGCAAACTAACAGACTGGCTTCATTTGAGCCAATCAGCAGCCAGTTCTGTGATGACCTCAGAGGTCCAGGGTGTCACTGACCTCTGCGTAAACACGACTCTCTATGGCCCAGCCGTTGATGGGGATGTCTTTCTGCTGGTGCTGCAGCCGGTAACCCTTGGCGACCCTGATCATCTGCTCCACCAGGTCCAGACCCGTAATGCACTCAGTAATGGGATGCTCCACCTGAGGTTAACGGTCAAACAGAGGAAATATCAAGACAACAGAATATTAGTTGGTAAACATTCACTTTACTATTGTCCCAGATAACTGAACCGCAGGTTAAATCACAAACAAAGTTTTTCCTCTCAACATTCATTGATCCTCCTTGTTTTTATGTCTGTGGAGCTCCAACTAGAAGCTTTACAAGAGCAGACAGAGTGGGGAGCTCCTCCTACTGAACCACAGTGGACTTACCTGAAGCCGCGTGTTCATTTCCAGGAAATAGAAGTTTTTCTGGGAGTCCACCAGGAACTCCACGGTTCCAGC